CAGGGCCGGCGCCGGGTCTCTCGGTGCGCGCGCCCTGACCGCCGCGAGAGCGCGCTCCGCCATGAGCGCGCCCGTCCCGAGAGCGCGCCCCGCCATGAGCGCGCCCGTCCCGAGAGCGCGCCCCGCCATGAGCGCGCCCGTCGCGAGAGCGCGCCCCGCCATGAGCGCGCCCCGCCATGAGCGCGCCCGTCCCGAGAGCGCGCCCCGCCATGAGCGCGCCCGTCCCGAGAGCGCGCCGCCATGAGCGCGCCCCGCCATGAGCGCGCCCCGCCATGAGCGCGCCCCGCCATGAGCGCGCCCGTCCCACCGCCAGGCCGCGCGGGCGCCTTCGGCTGCGGCCTTGGGGGGACTGAAAACAGGTGGATTTGGGCCACCGAAGTGGGCTGCCCTCGTCTAGACAAGGCCCTGGACAAGGTGGAGCGCGCAGCCTCCTCCTCCTCCTCCCCACAGGCTCAGCTGGGAGCACTCAGCCTCCTCCTCCTCCTCCTCCTCCCCACAGGCTCAGCTGGGAGCGCTCAGCCTCCTCCTCCTCCTCCCCCCCACAGGCTCAGCTGGGAGCGCTCAGCCTCCTCCTCCTCCTCCCCACAGGCTCAGCTGGGAGCACTCAGCCTCCTCCTCCTCCTCCCCACAGGCTCAGCTGGGAGCACTCAGCCTCCTCCCCACAGGCTCAGCTGGGAGCACTCAGCCTCCTCCTCCTCCTCCCCACAGGCTCAGCTGGGAGCACTCAGCCTCCTCCTCCTCCCCACAGGCTCAGCTGGGAGCACTCAGCCTCCTCCTCCTCCTCCCCACAGGCTCAGCTGGGAGCACTCAGCCTCCTCCTCCTCCTCCCCACAGGCTCAGCTGGGAGCACTCAGCCTCCTCCTCCTCCTCCCCACAGGCTCAGCTGGGAGCACTCAGCCTCCTCCTCCTCCTCCCCACAGGCTCAGCTGGGAGCACTCAGCCTCCTCCTCCTCCTCCCCACAGGCTCAGCTGGGAGCACTCAGCCTCCTCCTCCTCCCCACAGGCTCAGCTGGGAGCACTCAGCCTCCTCCTCCTCCTCCCCACAGGCTCAGCTGGGAGCACTCAGCCTCTACCGCCCCTCCTCCCCCCAACCAGGCTCAGTTGCTGTGCAGGCCAGACTTCTAGTGTATTCCATGCAAAGAAAAACAAACGCAAAAACATGGAAATACTCCAATTGCACTGTGTCAGAAGACAGACTTCCTAGCTTGCTGTTAGAATCACCTTATTTCCCAGAAAATGAGAACATACATAATGAAAGTGTATCTTATAGCAAATGACTCCCAAACACGTGGGTACACACACACACACACACACACACACGAAAACAACACTGGCCACACAGGACCCATCTGCTGTAGTCCCAATCTTGCCCATCTCTGATCTGCCATCACAGGAATTCACCTGTGGACATGGATAACTGACAGGAAAAACAAGCCATGTGCCCGTCTACACAACACTGATCAGGGCCTCTTGGACATCTGATGCACACAAATAGGTGCTAATATTTAAAATAATTACAAGCGGCTCTTTGGAAAAGGGACACCTTTTGCCCGTGTCCCTTCTCTTGGATCAAAAGAGAATAAATCTAGCCAGGCACCGGTGGCTCATGCATAATCTCAGGAGCCTGAGATCTGAGGATCACAGTTCAAAGCCAAGCCAGGCAGAAAAGTCTGTGAGACTTATCTCCAATTCGCCACCAAAAAATGGGAAGTGGTGCTGTGGCTCAAAGTGGCAAAAGAGCTCAATGTGTGGGCTCTGAGTTCAAGCCCCAGGACTGACAAAAACAAACCAATGAACAAAAAAACTAAAGCATAAAGCCACCGATAGCTGCAGAGACGCTCAGCACTAAATGTGAGCAGAGGGGACATCACGGACAGACAGGCATGGGCTGCTGGCCAGGCTGGGTCCCACACACAGCGATGGAGCAGAGAAGCAGAGCAGTCAAGTCTGACGGAGTGCCCCGAGTCCGTTAGCCACACCTGCCTCCCCTGTCCAGTGTCAGTGACAAACGTCACAGTGAGGCCCAGTGGCTGTGAGGAAGCCGAGTGACTAAATCTTCATCCCTTCATGAGAGGAGGGAGACCTGGCGGGACCCCAGCACTGGGTGTAGGCCTCCATATTGCCTTTCCCAGAGGCGAACCATCCTCCTAGGACATGCTACGCAACAAGGCAGGCGTGCGCAGAGCGGAGCCCTGCCAGCGGCACCCAACATCCGGGCCTGGCCACCACGCTGCTAGCATGCGCCCGCCCAGGACAAACTGAACTCAAGGCAGGAGAATGAGAATCTGGGGGCCCCGGCCCCCACGCTGGTACGCCTCCCACTTCCCAGTCCAGGTCTGCACCTGCATCGAGGCAGGCAGCAACCTGGATTTCTCACGGAGCGTGAACTGAAACTCACTGGGCAAGGCAAGTGGAGCAGGTCTGGGGAGCAAGGCACCCCAAGGACCGAATTCTGCAACTTCTGCAGCACATTTGGTAACCACAAGTTTCTGTTGCTCAGGGCTGGGAACAAACCCTGGACCCAGCACCCCCAGGCACACACAAGCTGAGCCGCACCCCAGCCCCAGGGCATACTTTAAGTATGAACCAAGAACTTTTCTATGAACTTGGACAGAAGCTTTTGTGCCTCACAATTAAATACCTCACTACAATACACACACAGTTCCTCCGAGGGTATTTCTCATGCAACTCACAGTGCCAACGGCATGGCTTGTGTGGATTTCAGGCCTTGCTCAAGGAGTACCCCGGGCCACACAGAACCAAACCACCTCCGTGATTTCACACACAGACAAGTGCTGTCATCTACAAAGGAAAGCTGGGGCTCAAAGGCGGAGTTAAATCAGATTGGTAACATTATAAACCACGAAGTTGTCACTTGTGTACACTTGTTTTCTTGTGGAGTAAGTGCAGTTTAACATATTTAGCTCTAATGAACTATGTAAAGCTTTTATTTTTTTGTTGGCCAGTCTGGGCCTGGGCACTGTCTCTCAGCTCTTCAGCTCAAGGCTAGCGCCACTTCCGGCTTTTTCTGTGGTACTGAAGAATGGAACCCAGGGCCTCAGGCATGCAAGGCAAGCACTCTACCACTGAGCCACCTTCTCAGCCTCTGTGAGACTCTTAACTTCGAAATAAACCACCAGAAAACTGGAAGTGGTCTTGAGCTGAAGAGCTGAGGCCCAGAGTTCAAGCGCCATGACCAACAAAAAAAAGAAAAAAGAAAAAAAACTTTTTGTTCACTAACCCAGCAAATGCCTGCAACAAACAAAAGCACAATGCAGCCGTGTGCTCTGCTCCTCCCGGCCCTCTTCCCTGGCCGGACCCCAGGGGTATTCACAAGTGCCCGAATCCCAGACATGGCTCAGTGATGGAGCCTTCGCTCGCACATGCAGTATCTGCGTGTGCATCTGTGATAGAGGGGAAAAGCCATTCCTTTCCGCCTCCATCTTCACAACAATCCTCTCCAACTCAACAGAAACCATCAGTAAACAGGGCAAATTCTTACAAGGCCCAAAGTCACCACAACCAAGTCATTTTTTTCACCTTTCCAGAAGGACTTAAGATGCGTAGTTATACTTGTGCAGATTTGCAGTTCACCAATTTTCATCTTCTGACTCGATCACTTTGCTATTCCACTAGTAGTAACCATTCTAAATCAACTGTAAACTTTTTATGGCACACGGCTGGCCGGCAGCTCAGCTCTTGGTGGAACGTGTGTGCTCATTGTGCCTGTCTTTATAAAGACACCAAGAGCCACTGTTCGCTTTATCGCTGCCTTCAAAACTCCTTACAAGCATTAAATGATGGCTTCCAGTGACGTGACCTGGCCCTCCCTTCTCCCCCCGCTCTGGGAGGCTCTAACCTCCGTGTGCAGAGCCGAGGGCCACTCCGGCTGGTGTGCGTGCCACATAGGGGTCCCCACCCCGAGTCCACCTTTCTATTTAGAAAAGTGTTACCCAAAAGGCTGAGTTTGGAAGCAAATGCTAGAATAAAACTTTCCTTTGGGAAAGGTGGATCAAAAGCTTCACATATGTAATTTTCTTTGTATGATTGTCAGATTTTGTGCTCGTAACTCATCGAATTTAAGGGGTAACAGGTTAATACTACAGCAGTAGCTCACCTCTGCAATCCACAGAAAAGTTGATTCTTCACTGTGGCTCTCTAAAGTGTATACAAACCCAGAAGACAAAGCTCCAGTCAGGCAAATCTCAAAGGCTAATGTCAGTGGCTCACACCCGTAATCTTCAACTATTCAGGAGGCTGAACGCTAGCAGAGTGTGGCTCAACACCAGCAAGGAAGAAAAGCATGTAAGACTCAACCTCCAAAATCATCAGCAAAGTCAGACTGGAGGCATGGCTCAAGTTGTAGAACAGCAGCTAAGCAAGCTACTGGAGCACAAGGTCTCAATTCAAATGCCAGTGCCAACAAAAGGTTAGCATCTACAGCTTAACTCGTTTTCAAACTGGAAGGGATTTTAGTCTAGACAACACTGTGATTCACATACAGAGAAGTGGAATCTGAACGTGTTTAAAAGCATGTTGAATGGCTGCAAATGCTCATGGGCAGGGGGGCAGCCTATGGGGGGCGGATCTCAGTAGAGGGGAACAAGAATGATGGAAAAACTCCAACCCCCGCCCCAGAAGAATGTTGTTCTTCTAACAAAGACACTGGGATTCTAACACTGAAAACAAAAGTACTGAGGCTCCTATGTATGAATCAAAACTACTCAGTATCTCCTCTACCTTGCAACTATACTAGGAAAAATTCTATACGGGGTGAAAAAAAGCTGTGGGGGACGGACACTCACTCACCGTCTTGACTGGCACAAGACACCCAGTCAAGCTGGCTGAGGGAAGGGGACAAATGCCACCTCCCACGAGGCCCCACTGCCTCCATGTCCCTCAGTGGGGTTGACCTGTACAAGCCCCACAAAACAAGGATGGAAGCCAGGTGCTCTGCTGGCGCGGGAGAAATGATGGGCGATTTCCCAAGACCGCCTGGGCAGTGTGTATATACCGCAACTTTATTTCAATTGCACAAATGAAGTTAGCGTGTAAGAAATTTAAATCAAACAGTTATGATAAAAATAGCCAGGAAATGAGAAACCTAAAAAGGCATGAGTTCAACATTCATCAGTGTTCCACCTTCGGTTTCGGCCGACGCGAGCTGAGCCGGTGAACAATGGAGGCGGCTTCGGCGCCAGCGCTGGGATTTGCACATTCAGTTTGTTTTCCAGAGTGGATGCAGGTCAGATCACAGTGTTGAGAGCAGTGCCCTCCTGCAGAGGGGCCCTAAGCTGTCCTGGGGAGGACGTCGGACACAAGCCACACTGGAGGGAAAACAACACCGGCTTGTGCTTCCCTCCCTACCGGCTGACATCACCAACAGAGAACCACTTGGGTTCAGAAGAAGCCCGCTTTGCATGGCTCCACACTGCTTCTCCAGCTCTACAGACATCATGTTGGGGTTAGACCAAGGCACGGCACGTTAGTAAGCCAGGTTCTCTCAAGATTCAGCATGTGTTTTAGTCTTTGATCTTACTTTGGACCACAAGGCTACGCGATTTAACTAACCCAACAAAATCAAAAAGTCATTTCTGGTCAGATTCGTAGGGGCAATAAACATTTACACTGTCGAGGTATCTGCATGGCCCAAAGCACACCATTAAAGAGAAAACTGCCTATTTCTTTTAGACAACAGTAATTTAAAAGCATACTGCATCTTCAAAGCCTTCACTACTACTGCATGTGATGAATAATAGAAAAAAAAGCTATGTTTGCATCAGAATAGCTCATCCATCACAGTTTAGTCTAAGAAGTACCTTTCTACAGATTTTAACAGTGGAAAACCTTTCTTCCATTCAACGTCTTTGTGTGGTGCTGGCTGTTAACCAGCGGCAGGCTTTCGGGAAACTGTGCTGAGCCAGCTGAGGACACGTGTGCTATCAGGAGAATAGATCAAAACGGGCCGTTTCTTCAACATTTTAGCTAAAGGTCGGCTAAAGCTTTCGAAGCAAATATGGCACGTAACAACTCAAGCGTGTGTTGATGTGGAGAGCCTGGGGGCTTCCGACTCCCTAAATCTGCCAAAAGCTGTTGTGACAACAGGCAGGCCCTCTCTCTCCCTCCCTCCGCGGCAAAGCCGCCCGGCCGTTTCTGTGACCTTAACCGGTGCTGTCACTGTCCCTGGCTGTGCTCAAGGTAGCAGTGTGGAAGTTCAGAAGCAGTCTGCACCCAGGCACGGGTGCCTGCACACCGCAGGCTGCGGGGCCCGGGAGAGCCCCACACAGCCACCCAACCTCGAGTTCCACAGTAAGGTAGAATCCACGTGAAGCTCACAATCATGCTTCAGACCATTGAAATTACCGTTTAAAATACAAACCGCTGAAGACATGACAAAAAGATTAAGTACTTGGTTGTGTTAACGTATTTACCAATCAAAGTCACAAAATACTTTTCATTATTAGTCATGCAGGCAATTGAGAGAAAAAAAAAACAACAATAGTGCAGAAATTAAATAAAAAATTATTCCTTCCCTTCCTCCCTCTCTACACTCTACAAAATGTCTTCCCCGGGACCAGGTCTAGGAGAGGCCTCTACACGAGCATGACATGCTTCACCCTCTGCAATTAAAAAAGCTAACTGCGGTGACTTATTACATTATAAAAATGTCCACATGCAGAAGTCTAAAAAAGGTTGAAAAGCTACAGTAAATCTACAATATATTGTTGTACATTTGACCACTGGTTTTATATAGAAGTCATAGATTTGGTAAAGCATTGTAACAATTTAGGAAGGCATCTAAATCTGTAAATTCTTGGCGAATTTATGTTGTTTAAACTACAAAATTGCATGAAGGCTAACTTGGACTTCCTATCACTCTACAATCCCTCACGACGGACCCGGTCATCTTCAGACACTTTCTTGTAAATGTCATCCTTTGAAAACATATACAATTCCATTTGTTCCTCATCTTAAGATCTAAACCTACACAACGCTGATCTCAATTAGTCATGGAATACCAAAAAAATGATAGGAAGACAAACCTGAGAGAGACATTTGCAATACAAAAGCAGAGCTTGCTAAATTCCTCAGCACCCGGGGAGGAGAGGGGGGACGGGGAGGGGGGAGAACTTCATGAGCCTTTCTCCTCTTTATTTTAGCAGTGGGTTGTGGGAAGTGTGTGGTTTTATTTCAATGTGAAAATATCTCAGTGCATGGCGATCTTGCCTGATGGGTTTATATTTTCTGCATAAATGTTATGGAAACTCATACATAACTCTCTTTTCATCCTGTAGTAAAGGTCAAAGCAGCAGCAAACCGAGAGGAAAACAGATGATCGCCAGAGTCACAACTCAAGAAGGTTTCCGAGGATGCCCACTGCCCCTCGGCTCTGTTTCCACTTTCTTCTGATAGCTCTTAACTGAAGGGGTGATGTTGACAGTTGTTTGTAGGAATTTTTGTTTTTCTCCAGATTCAAGTCTTATCTCTGCTTAATTTGCTTCTCTATGCAGTATTTGACTTGCTCAGCTCCTGCCTGATTGCTACGAGAGGAAACAAACAGCACTGAAAGTTGATTCTTCTTGTGTGTGTGTCCTGGTTCTGGACTTGAACTCAGGGCCTGGACACTGTCTCTGAGCTAGCCACAGTTTCAGTCCCAGCTTTTTGGTGGCTAACTGATGATAAAGAGTCCCATGGACTTTCCTGCCCGGGCTGGCTTAGAACCCCAACCCTCAGATCTCAGCCTCCCAAGCAGCTAGGACTACAGGTGTGAGCCACCTGAGCCCATCCTTTTTTTTTGGTCTGGTCCTGGGGCCTGAACTCTGGGCCTGGGCGCTGTCCCTCAGCTCTTCAGCTCAAGGCAAGCGCTCTACCACTTGAGCCACAGCGCCACTTCCGGCTTTTTCTGCTTCTGTGGTGCTGAGCAATCAAACCCAGGCCTCATGCATGCAAGGCAAGTGCTCTACCACTGAGCCACCTTCCCAGCCCCTCACCTGAGCCCATTCTTAAGAAACCTTACAAGTCATGTTCAAACTCAGTCCTAAGGAAACAGTCTTTAAATCTTTACTGTAGGAAGTGACGCTGTGGCTCATGAGGTAGCATGCTAGCTTCGCGCTGAAGAGCTGAGGGACAGTGCCCAGGCCCAGAGTTCAAGCCCACGACCAACCAAAAAAAAAGGGGGGGGGGGGTCGCCTGCAGGAGCTGGGGAGGAGGACCGTGGGGGGAGTTTTAAGTGCTAAGGACCACTTACCATCAATGAGCTCCTCTTTCAGCTTGGTTAGTTCTTTTCTCATCTCATCTAAAATATCCTAAAATATTAAAGAAACACGTGAAAAAACAAACATACTAAAACCTCTTACTCGTATGTACATTTAAGGAGCGACACAATACCACTTTGTGTTTCAGTAACATCAACCTTGGTACACTTTGTCTGCGTGTTTTCTAACCCAGGCAGACATGCAAGGGGACGCTTTGAGGGACACTCAGTAGCCAAGGTGGCGGCTGTAAGGCTGTGCGTGGGGCAGCACAGACACGTCCGCATGTCCAAGAAGAGGACCCCACTGGACACCAGCCCTGGCAAACTCTCCACCTGTCTCAAGTAAGGCATTTCCCAGGTACCACCGAAATATCCATACTTCAAACTGCATTCCACACACCTACCCTCCTCTGCAAGGCCTGGGAAAGGCCATTCTGGGCTCATTCTGTCCAACACAGCAGGCCCAGCCCGTGACCTGCTGAGCTCCTAATAGAAGATGGAAAACACACCACACCAGATTCCAAATAGTTACTATGAAGAAAGTAGGCCGAAGCAACACACTGGAATTTCATAATGATGACTACGTATTGAAATGATTGTTTGGAATGCATTAGGTTAAATGAAGCACTTAACAAACAGGTCGTCCAGTGTAACTATTAGAATTTTTTTTTGAACTCAGGGCCTGGGCCCTGTCTCGAAGCGTCTCCACTCAAGGCTGACGCTCCACCACTTGAGCTACAGCTCCACTTCTGGCTTTTTTTTGGTGAATTGGAGAGAAGAGTCTCTCAGACTTTCCTGGGCTGGCTGCAAATCCTGATTCTCGGGATTTGGTGTGCTGGTTTTTATTTTTGAGATAAGGTCTTGCTTGCAACGCTGCTATATGATAGCTGGACCATGACCTGTACAGACATTCAAAATATGGACAATAACTTTTTCTCTTAAGAAAAGAGAAAATGCACGCATTTGCATTGTGACTTGTCTCAGCTAACACAGCTAAGTGTTCACAAGTCACCGTGAACTATCTGGGACCCAACTCCACTACCCCTGTGTACGATTCTTCAGTACGTTGCATCCATTTACTTGCAAATATTCCTTGAAATAAAACTGCTGGGGTAAAAGTTTTTTAATTTGTTTCTGTAAACTGATTCTTAGGAGGAAACATACAAGTCTATTTTCCCCAGTTCTTGCCAAAATCAGGTTTGCTGGTCTATGTTTGTCAATATGATTTTGTTGTTGCTTTTTTTAAGCAACTGCACACGCTGTGCTCACATTAAGCTAATAGCCTCCCACTAAGCCCCGCAGCCCTCCTCCCGCACCCCACTGAATGTGCCTCCAGCCAGAATCAAGGCCCCGGAAGGAGCGGCATGCTGGGGGGCTGCTGTTTACCCTTTCACCATCTGGTTGTCGGGGGTCGGGGTCTGGCGAGCACCTACCTGCTTCAGTCTGTCGCAGTCAAGGCTTTCCGTCTGGACCCCGTTGGCACTGGGCTGGGACAAGGGTGTGGACTTAGGTCTGTACAAATGATATTTCCAGGACAGGTAGGTAGGTAACTAGTACTCAGAAGATTGAGTGAGCTCATAAATAGAACCTGAACAACCCGTCTCAAACAAAACCCATAATGTTAAGAAGTTAAAAATTTAAGACTGTTTAGAACAGAAAACTAATATTATAATTTCAGTTATTTATAAATAAACTAGGCAAGACAACAAATGACCAGTAATCACACAACAGGTGGACTTGGACCTCCATCAAGAGGCCAGCTAAAACTTCCAGGGCTACAACAACAGGGTCTCATCTTCTCCTTCTGAAAGCACCCAGAAATCAACAGAAGGAAAGACGAAGACATACTTTATTCTAACATAAATCTGCTTGTGAGTTGTATGTTTGGTTTGCAGAAAGAAAATGTTTCAGTCAACATCACTTCTTTATATATATTTTACTCCATTGCCAGCGTGAATATAAATAAAAATTTGAAAAAGTGATTATTTAACTAGAAGTATCTATAGTCAGCCAGGCACCAGTGGCTCATGCCTTTAACCCTCCTCACTCTACTAATAACAATTATTCCTAGTTATAAAGCTATCCTTGGCAGAAAAGTCTGCAAGACTCCAGTCCAAAACCACCAGCAAAAGCTGAGTCAGAAGGAAGGCTCAAGTGGTAGAGCACCAGGCAAGGAAGCAAACCGCCCAAGTGTGGAGCTGAGCTCAGACCTCAGGCCTGGCTCCATACAAAGCGGCTCTATTTTGTTTTGTTTTAATATGGAACTATCATTTGTTTTAGATTAATTGCCTTCTATAAACTTACTTTGCTTAAAAAAGAAAATGTTAAAAACAGAGTCTCAAGTATTATTCACTTTCAAAAGTTTAGCTTCAGTTAAAAAATTTTACCAAGCTGGGCGTCAGTGGCTCACACCTGTCATCCTAGCTACTCAGGAGGCTGAGATCTGAGGATTGCGGTTCAAAGCCAGCCCGGCCAGGAAAGGCCGTGAGACTCTTATCTCCAAAAACACCACCAGAAAACTGGAAGTGGCGCTGTGGTTCAAGTGGTAGAGCGCTCGCCCTGAGCAGAAGAGCTGAGGGACAGCGCCTAGGCCCAGAGTTCAGGCCCCACGACCAGACCCAAAAATAAAAAATAAATAAAAAAATTTACTTGACAAAACCACACACACACACACACACACACACACACACACACACACACACACACACACACACTCTCTCTCTCTCTCTCTCTCACTCTTACTTTTCTTTCCTTCTTTATGCTGGTCCTGGGGCTTGAACTCAGGGTCTGGGCATTGTCCCTATAGTGCTCTACCACTTGAGCCACAGCTCCACTTCCAGCTTTATTTTTGGTGATTTACTGGCAAATAAAGAGTTTAACAACTTTCTTGCCCGGTCTGGATTCAAACTGGGACCCTGAGATGTCAGTCTCCCAAGTAGCTAGGATTATAGACATGTGCCACTGGCACCCAGTGAACTAGGCCTATTTTAAATACAAGTTTTAACATAAAGCAAGGCGCTCTAGTTCTGCTAGTTAGGAAAATTCTCAGCAGAAAATCTGGAATTTTAACAGGGATACCTTTACATTCTAGCTAAGCACAGTAGAAGGTGACTACTCTTTAAGGTCTACAAGTCAGGGCTGTTTGAAAACATTAGTCAAAGCTCTTATTTTACCACTATTAGAAATGTGAATCAAAACCCAGTAGGCATACTTTTTTGGGGGGAGGGAGAAGGGCAGTCCTGGGGCTTCAACTCAGGGCCTGGGCACTGTCCCTGAGCTTTTTTTGCTCAAGGCTAGCACTCTACCACTTGAGCCACAGCACCACTCCCAGCCTTTTTCTGTGTATGTGATATTGAGGAATTGAACCCAGGGCTTCATGCATGCTAGGCAAGCACTCTGCCACCAAGCCACATTCCCAGCCCACATATAGCTTTTGTTAAGTTCTATTTTATAAATCATGTAAGACACAGCACCTCAAAAACCTATACACATTATTCATGAAGCCGTGGAATACTGAACTAATCTGCTTTAGTAGTGAAAGACACCACTGGTTAAAAGTTTATCATGAGGGGCTGGGAAGGTAGCTCAGTGGTAGAGCACTTGCCTTGCATGCTCGAGGCCCTGGGTTCGATTCCTCAGCACCACATAAGAAAAAAGCCGGAAGTGGCACTGTGGCTCAAGTGGTAGAGTGCTAGCCTTGAGCTGAAGAGCTGAGGGACAGCGCCCAGCCCAGAGTTCAGGCCCCACGAACGGACCAAAAATACAAAAAAGTTTATCATGAGGGGCTGGGAAATTGGCTCAGTGGTCGATTGCTTGCCTTGCATGCATGAGGCCCTGGGTTCAATTCCTCAGCACCACATAAGCAGAAAAAAGCCGGAAGTGGCGCTGTGGCTCAAGTGGTAGAGCGCTAGCCTTGAGCTGAAGAGCTGAGGGACAGCGCCCAGCCCAGAGTTCAGGACCCACAACCAATGGGAAAAAAAAAAAATCAAAGATTATCACGAAGCAAATCAACTAATTTTACTTCATTGAGTGTCTGCTTATAACGGACAAGGGAATAACCTCCAGAAACGCTGTTCACACAGTGCCGCCCAGGCACGGGTGGCTAAGAGGGTGCCGGTGCTCACGGGACGCCCCTCTTCCTCTGCTGAGACCCCCGGGTCCTGGGGTTGGGGTGCAGACCCATCACTCTTCATCGGCTCTTATCTAACCCTGCGCTCCAGAATGCACAGCTTCAAGGGGCCACATAACTGGGCAGTATACTATAGATGTATTCACATTCACTAAAGAGTGTCATGTAATAAACAGTTGTGGAAACATGCAATTTTAAAAAAATTATTTCATGCTAACATGCAATCCTCCACCACCACCACCACCACCACCACCACCGTGAGAGGTAACTCAAAGGGAACTTTTCATACTGAAGGAAAGATGTAATCACCACTTTATTATTTTTTTAAATGTTTTTTCAGCAACCTCATCCTGGGGTATGATGTGTGAAAACAGTAAGATCTCATGGTCAAATACTTTTTTTCTATGTCCTAACAAATTTTCGTAATCTTTTGTTCAGAACAGTTAATCCACCTCAGAAACGCTTTTGCAATATAAGCATTTTGTGGAGATTTATTTAGCTGATAAAATAAACCTGTCAGGTATTTTGATAATTAATGACATGAAAATAGCTTTAGCATGCAAGAGGTTTTACCAGCCCCACACTGAAGAATCACTTCCGGCCTCGGGCGCACACCCTGTACACTATTTAATTCATATTTTCAGTAGGGTTGAAATGTATTTTATCATCCAGCTACCAAAGTAGCCCAGGAGGGCCTCGAACTCTCCATCTTCCTGCTTCATCCTCCCAGGCTCTGGGATTACAGGTGTCAACAACCACATCTGGCTTTCTCAGTTTTTAATCTATGGGTTTCAACACAACTGGTAACAAAATACCAGTTTATCAGAGGTTTTTGTTACTTTAAGAGTGTTGCCTCTAGACACTTGCTTATAACTGTACTACTACAATGTTTAAGTTCCTATTCTGCCAAGTAATTTCTACAAATAGCTGAGAACTATCTGGAGACTTTTAAAATTGTCAACTTCTTTTAATTAAGCAACAGATGATTCATACCAAGTGTCAGCTACTAGAATGCAAGATACTTGACTATAAAGCACCTAGGACACAGAGATCTTTGGTATCCCCAAGGAATGCCCGCAGCAACGGGGCCCCCACGTCCTGTGGCCTGCAGAACTAGCCTGCGCTCTTCCACTCCACTTTTTACAATCTTGTCTCACGGCACAAAGAAAGCTGAATTTAAAGCTACAAACAGCCTAGACAAGCTACTGACCATTCTGCTTTCCATTTACATGGTTGTAATCAACGATTGGTGATAGCATGTAAGTGTTAAAAATAAAGTGAACACCGAAAACCTCAGTGCTCCTAACGCTCTCTTGTGGTGATTACCAATCCAGGTAGAAAAAGCTCGGCCCTGTCCTGTCTCCAACCACAAGGCCACAGCAGGATGATACCTGTATAATGGCTCATAGGACCTGTTGTCAAAAACAATCTGATTTTTCCTTGGAGAATCCCGTCTACGAAGGGGAAAAACCATTTAAAGGGGTTTACATCAGAATTTAAAATAGTCATTCTCATGTTACTGTGTTACAGACTTTGTAGTTATAGCAAACAAAGTAAGAATGAAAGTGTAAGGTCCGCTCCTGGATGGCTAGCAGACTCCACCCTCCTCGCAGCAAAGTCTCCACCCAGTACCTGCGTTACCTAGGCAACTGGGACACCTGGAAGAGGTCACATCTGCATCCGCTGAGGTCACATCTGAATTTGATGTGGCCACACCTTTCCCCGCCCATCCCCTAGATAAGGGCCAGCCCAGGCCCAGACTCTCTTTCTCTCTGTTCGTTTCTAGCTCTCTGCTCTCTCTGTTCTATTCTAGCTCTCTCTGTTCTATTCTAGCTCTCTCTGCTCTTTTCTAGCTCTTTTCTCTCTCTTTACCAGCTCTCTCTCTTTCCCTGCCACGTGGAGTGCCAACCTTGCTAAACCTACCCCTTACCTGAATACCATGTGCATGCTGGTGCTGTTCTTACTCGGCTACCTCTTTTTAAATACCTAACATAAAGGAGCCCATTATTCTTAAATACTGATTTTACGCCGTAAACGAAGAAGCTACATTGAGACTAAGGTGGAGTTCTAGAGGAGGATCCACTCACAGAGCACACCACGGGGAAACCATTCACGGCCAGGTAGGAAGCAGCTCCTGCTGCAGGTGGGAACAGCAGAACCTGCCTGCCTCTCACAGTCTGCTGCAGTCATCAGAGACTAAAAGCCACTACAGCCTCAAGTGCACAAACTCACCATCCTGAGGCTCATGAACAGCCTTTCCCCAATGGTGAACAGAGTAACCTTCTACCGGAAAAACCCAAATACTTTCCAATACTGCATTCTAGCTGGGTCTTAAATGTCTAGACTTCCACCTTATTATTCTTATTATTTGGTGGGGTTTGTACCTGCGAGTAAGATGTTCTGTCTGTGTGAGGCAGGCCTCCAAACCTCTGTGGTTTTAGTTACTTCTCAGGAAGGGCATCTGTTTTTGCCTGCGCTGGTTTGCTGCAGTTCTCCATCACAGGAGCTACACGCCATTTCCTGACTGAAGATGGGGCCCCACCACCTTTTTACCCAAGTTGGCCTTGAACCATGATCCTCCCAATCTCCGCCTCTCAAGTGCACCACCAAGGCCCTTTTCTGTCTGACAGCACTTCACATGTAACATGGCATCCTGTGCGCAGCAGAGGGCAACCGAACCACCTCCATACAGAGGATTCAAAGCAATGCCACAGCATGATCAAACCACGGAACCACTGATGTACTTGCCTTCAGAAGGAACAGAGGCAGTTACTTAGAATAAGAAACTGTTAAGTCTTATCTGGTTAAATCAATTTCACCTCCAAAGGTCTCTGAGTGGTCAGGAAATGCACTGGTACTTCAGCACTTCCCGGAAGCTCCGCCTACCAGATCTGAAGGTAACTGCTAAGAGTCAGCTCCTGTGTGTGTGGGTCCTTTCAGAACGGCAACCTTCTCAGCACTTCAAATTAAACTTCCTCCTTTTTAGAAGGCTGAACAGAGTATTCTGGAGAATTATTTTTTCCTTTAAGTATGGTCAGGCAAACTAAGGAGCGCCTCCCCCGCGCAGCCCAGTGTGGCTGCAGTCTGGCGCCAGGCAGCTCTCTTTGTAACTACCCTAGAGAAGCAGGGCGCCGGGCGCAACTGTCACAACTCGGCTTCAACAGGCACGTGCACATCAGTGTACGCCCAAGCTCTGTTCCATCGCTTTCCTGTTAGCCACATCAGCCTTGATAGTGCACTACTAAAGAAAACAGGTTCCGGGTCACCTTCACTAGGCATCTGAGAAATAGAAATAAACAATTTTCCTGCCCTATGGAGAAAATGTCCACCCAAAAAAGTTCTCTTTTACAGTCAACTATGACTACCTCTGGGTCGCAAAGAAACTAGTAGTTTTTTTTTTAATTTTTTTAATTTAATTTTTTTTGTGCACATACTGTACAGAGGGGTTACAATTACATGGGCAGGATAATGCGTACATTTCTTATCAAGCATTGCAGCCTCCTCCTTTGTTTACCCTTCACATCCCTTCCCTACCTCCCCCCTACCCCCCCACCACCCAATCCTCCTCCCTCCCCCCCGAAACTAGCAGCTTTTATGTATTAAATAATACAAAGAAAGCTTGAACAACTGTGTCTCCACCAGTCTTTGCCAAAGAGGCCAGATCCAATTTTTTTAGTCTAATGCAGAATAAGTATACTTCTATATTAATTTTCTGTAATACAGTCAAGTGTGCTTTACAGAAGGAAAAACTAAGAAAACTATCTTAATTCTCTAAATATATACCTCAAAATTTCCACTGTGAAAGCGCTTTTTAGGATCTCTCACCGACAAGAGTTGAACAAGTGATGACAATGTAGTCGTGGTGATGATGCGCGCTTAGCACGGGGCCCTGCATCTGCCTGACCCTGCCTACTCTAAGGCCTGCCAGGACCCCTCCCACCTCCTGGCTAAGTCTCCACCCAGAACCCGTTACGTAGGTAACTGGCAGACCTGGAAGCTGTCACCTTCCCCTCCTGCCAGGTCACAGCCTGGGCGGGCTCTGGTCACCCTCCCATCTGACCTTACGAGTGTCTAGGCCCTGAGGTCTCACCCAATCCAGCGTGGCCACAATCCCCCCCCACCCCACATCTCTTCCTGAGGTCACACCCAATCCAGCGTGGCCACAATCCCCCCCCACCCCACATCTCTTCCTGAGGTCACACCCAATCCAGTGTGGCCACAATCCCCCCCCACCCCACATCTCTTCCTGAGGTCACACCCAATCCAGCGTGGCCACAATCCCCCCCCACCCCACATCTCTTCCTGAGGTCACACCCAATCCAGTGTGGCCACAATCCCCCCCCACCCCACATCTCTTCCTGAGGTCACACCCAATCCAGCGTGGCCACAATCCCCCCCCACCCCACATCTCTTCCTGAGGTCTCACCCAATCCAGAGTGGCCACACTCCCCCCGCCACATCTCTTCCTCCCCCTGGCCTAAGCCCGGGGTGGGCCTTCCTTTTTGGCCATCTTTCTCCACCATGCATGGTGGGGGCGGGGGACAGGGGGTGGCAGTTCGGTAAATAAACTTCTTTTCCTGCCTGACTAGCACGTGGCTGCTCTCTTCATCAGCTACCTAATAAAACCTACCTAACAAGTTTTGTTTCTGGCACCATCTTTCCTAACTTGATTATAGTTAGCAAATGTTTTTCTTTCTGTTGGTCATGGAGGTTGAACTCAGGGTCTAGGCACTGTCTCTGAGCTCTTTTGCTTCAAGCTAGTGCTCTACCACTTTGAGCCGTAGCTCCACCCCCATGGTTAGCAATTTCAATTGACATAGAACACATTCCACTTCACAAATTCAAAGTGTTATTCTGACACTGCCCCCCATCTCCACCTGATTTTCAGTTTTAAAGTTTAGAAAATTGTGTGTGTGTGTATTTATTATTTTTTTTGCCAGTCTGGGTCTTGAACTCAGGGCCTGGTCACTGTCCCTCAGCTTCTTTTGCTCAAGGCTGGTACTCTACCCCACTTGAGCCACAGCGCCACTTCCGGCTTTATTCTGTGTATGTGGTGCTGAGGAATCAAACTCAGGGCCTCATGCGTGCTAAGTGAGCTCTCTATCACTGAGCCCCAGGAAACTGTACTCATCACATACTCATAGATGTGTACAGTATGTAATTTTCATTGTGTGTGTATTCCCGTGGAGATACTGCGGTAGGATAAGGGGGAGGGAAAAGAACTATGTATGACGGTGACATAAGGTAGGGTTTGGGGTCAGGAGAAAGCTCATGAGAGGCTTATTCTGATTAAAATATAAACCATAAAATGTCTGCAATGCATGGTGAAACCCTTTGGTATTATTTATATACACCCAAAAAGCACCTCAGAGGACAAAGAAATGACAAGAAAGCAAAACAGGCTCTGTTGGGTTTCTGGGTAATATAGGTAGAAAAAAAGGGAGAGGAAAATAGAGATAGTAAATGATGATAAATACGGTTGTAGTACTTGGTTTTCATATATGAAAATAGAACAATGAAACTTGTTGGAACTGTTTTAGAAGTGAGATGAGGGTAAGGGAGAGTGACATAAAATATGAACTTGTATGTATATATGCAAATGTCACAATAAAGCCCCCCCTCCATACAACTAATATATGGCAATAAAAGAATATTTTAAGTGGGCTTGGGATGTGGCTTAGTGGTAGAGTGCTTGCCTAGCCTGCAGGAAGCCCTGGGTTTGATTGCTCAGTACCACATAAACAGAAAAAGCCAGAAGTGGCCCTGTGGCTCAAGTGGTAGAGCACTAGCCTTGAGCAAAAGAAGCTCAGGGACAGCGCCCAGGCCTAGAGTTTAAGGCCCAGGACTGGCCAAAGAAACCAAAAGTCTTTAAGTAAGTAAAGCTATCTTAATTTTTAGTAAAAATGTAATTGGCATCGAGCACTGGTATCTCACACCTATAATCCTAGCTACTCACGAGGCTGAGGTCTGAGGACCATGGTTCAAAGCCAGCTGGATCAGGAAAATCCATGAGAATCTTATCTCCAATAAACTACCAGAAAACTTGAAGTGGTGCTGTGGCTCAAGTGGTAGAGCACTTGCCTTGAGCTGAAGAGCTGAGGGACAGCGCCCAAGCCCAGAGGTCAAGCCCCATGACCACCATCACCACCACCAACAAAAACAGTAATTGACTCAATAGCTATCAAGGAATAGCAGGATGAGGGTCCTTTTGTTCTCCCTGCATAAACTCCCATTCTACAACTTCATTATTCCTATATGCCAAAATGCATTGGTTTATATGTATGTGCGTGTATCTCCATATATACATATATATTTGATTTAAATCATCTGCATGTATTTTGGTACCTGGAGATGACGGGTGATTTGCTGCCGTTCATTGCATTTGTTCTTTCCCAAGGTTTCCTCGTTGGTTCTTTAAAAATGAGAGACAAATTTATTAAGTATCAGTATGTGTTCTAAAAATCACTGTAAAACAAACAATGAAATACTGAAATAATCATACCCCTTTGTATAGTAATACAGACAAGAACATTCAAATTTAAATCCTAAACACCATTCTAATTTCTATAATTTCAGTTCTTAAAATAAGAATAAGCAAACATATAAATTTCCTTAAAAATGCCCTTACAGGGCTGGGAAGGTGGCTCCGTGGTAGAGCACTTGCCTTGCATGCATGAAGCCCTGGGCTCGATTCCTCAGCACCACATACGCAGAAAAAGCCAGCTTAGGCAAACAAATCCTCAAGAATCTCAGTGAAGCTGTGACTCAAGTGGTAAGAGCACCAGCCTTGCCAGGTGCCGGTGGCTCACACTTGTCATCCTAGCTACTCAGGAGGCTGACATTTGAGGATTGCAGTTCAAAGCCAGCCACAGGCAGGAAAGTCCATGAAACTCTTCTAATCTCCAATTAACCACTAGAAAATCCAAAGTGGCGCTGCGCTGTAGGGCACTAGCCTTGACAAAAAAGCTCAGGGACAGCATTTAGGCCCTGAGTTCAAGCTCGCGACTGACAAAAAACCTACAAGCCAACAACAATAACAACAAAGCAACAAACACTTCGAGCTTCGAGTGAAAAAGCTAAGGGATAGCACCAAGGCCCTGAGTTCAAGCCCCAGGAGCAGCACACACAAGAATCTATTTCTAGGTGCCAATGCAATTGTAATGACTCATGAGGCTGAGATCTGAGGTTCTCAGTTCAAGGCCAGTCTCAGTAGGAAAGTCTGTGAGCCTCTTAACTCCAATTAATCACCAAAAAGCTATAAGTGGAGCTATGGCTCAGGTGATCCAATGCAGCTTTGAGCGAAAAAGCTAAGGGACAGCACTCAGATTTCTGAGTTCAAGCTAGCACAAGAGAAAGGAGGGAGGAGGGGGAAGAACTATTTTAATTAGGCCTATTTTGAGTAGATACTTTTTGTTTACCACTTAGCATTAAATGGTAAGCAAGTAAAAAGTGTAATATATCTGTGTACTTCAACACTTCATCTAAAGCCAAGAAAAAATTTCTTTAAACATCTCAAAACGGATTACAGAATCATGTCATTCTGAATCAATTCTTAGGATCTGGCAGACAATTCCAAGCCCTGTCACAAAGAGGCTGGTGGCTGGCCAGCTGGCCGGGGTGGCCAATTCACCGGTGTGGTTGCTGGCCTTCACAGCAGGACTGCGGGAAACTGTGAGTGGAATCTTGTCTTGATGAAAAGCATTTGGGCCAATGGAAATAAATGTATATATGGGCTGTGATTTTGCTGTTTTTTCTTTCTAGTGCTGAGTCTTAAACTCAGGGCCTGGGTGCTGTCCCTGAGCTTTTTTCTTCAAGGCTAGTAATTCTATCACTTGAGCCATAGCTCCACTCTTAATTACAAGTGTCTCAGGCACTTCTCCACTCTGGTACTTTCAAAGCGGGATCCTCAGATCTGGAGGATTACAGAAGTGAGCCACCAGCACCAGGCTCCACTGAGTCGTTTTCACCAAGAATCTGAGCTCTTGCTTCTGAGATGGCTTCTAAGTGGCTTCTGCACATTGCTACTTACAAGCTTGAGTCTCTTTTAAATGCACAGATTCAAAACTAAGTCTCCTACAAAGCTCTTTTTGGTACAGAATTTCTGTTGCATGCAGGTGTCTACATAAGACAGCTTGTCTTGCTTTATTCTTCATCATTTCAATAGTTCCTTCCATTTTTCACTATTTTTTATTCCCCCAACATATAACACTTTCTCTCACTGACCCTCCCCCCGGGCTGGCAAGTTCCAGAACATCAGATAATCAGAGGGCATTTAGGATGGGCAAGTCAGAAACACATTCAACACAGCAAGCAGCCTAGGCAGGCGTGAAGATGAAAGACCTGCTGCAAGCGGTGGAGAGGGAGAAGCACCATCCATCAGACAACGCATCAGAGAGGGGCAGGCAGAAGGTCCAGAGGGGTTAAGACAAAGCAACCCTGTCCAAGGTTTTTTCTCCACTAGGCAAGCTAGACTGGCCCTCAACCCCACAGGCTGGCTCAGTGCGGGCGCGGAAGACCACGGAGCAGCGTGTACCTCAGAAGTGCTGCTGCGGGGCCGAGCCCGGCCTAGGAACGTCCCCCCACATGTTTCTGCCCCACTGACTACACGTCACCTCAATACCTGAATGTTTCACAGTTCTAACTCACCTGCCCAATACCCCAGCAGGACTGACCATTCCAGGCAGCTGAGTCTGTTGATTACTTTTCTAACCTTCTCATGTTGCCTCACCTTTGTCTCAAGGGCTTATTAACCCACTTGACGTGCAAAGTAAAATGCCGTTTTTTCTACAGAGATGACCCCATATATAAGTGTTTTTAGATTCAACACGGGGTCGTAAAGGTTAACTCCCCCTTGTGCATGCCTCACATCGTCAACTGGACTGTGGGGTCAAGGTCTTCATCATTCATTTGTTTTGCCTATTGAAAAAACTTGAACGAAACAGGTAGGAAAGGGCGTCGCAGCCCTTCTGAATGGCGCCACTTCACATGTGTGACACACACAAGGACATGCTAAACACAAACTCACGCTTTAGCTTTGCACATGCAAAACACGGAGAGCTGTACTAGACTTACGCTTTTTTTTTTTTTTTTTTAAAGACAAGATATTCTTAATGTGGAGATCACGGGTGACCATCCGGGAGTTTAGAAGCAGTAGGAGGTCATGAACAGATCTGTATGACCTGGATAAAAACGACTCTCTTCTGGGGAGAGACTTTATGACTGCGACCATATTCTAAAGATTTTTGCTGTCCTCAAGCACAGGGCAGTTCTAAAGCATCTGTAACAGCTGTTTGGGGTTGTTCTTTGGGGGGGTATTGCTAATACTGGAACCTACTTGGGTCTCACACATTCTCTAGGCATTTCCCACTTGTCACTGGTGCACTACCACTTGAATCACACTTGTGTTTAAAGGGTAAAAGTCCCAAGGATTTGTCTGCCCACACTGGCTCTAAACCTCAACTTTCATACCTCAGCTTTCTGAGTATTTAGAATGATAGACATGAGCCTCCAGTGCCCAGCTTAATATAGATAACAGATTTTGGCTCAAAAGGATAAAGCTAGCAGGGTGTCAGTGGCTCAGGTCTGTACCCTTAGCTTGAGAGGATCAGGTTTGGGGGCCAGGGCTTGAAGCCAGCAGGGCAGGAACGTCTGTGAGACAACCAAAGAAGCCAGAGGCAGATCTGTGGCTCAGTGGTAGAGCGCTAGCCTTGAGCAAAAACGCTCAGCAGCAGTGCCCAGGACCCGAGTTCAAGCTCCATGACCGACAAAAAACCAAAAACCAAAGCAACAACAACAAAAATCCCAGATATAGGTCAAGCACTAGTGGCTCATGCCATTATGTAGAAATTCTAGAGGTGGTTAGTAGCCTTTAAATCAAATATGCAGGTAGCAAGACAGATCACTCCCTATAATGGTTCCTATTAGCTATTCTGGATATTCACTCTTCACATTTATCTATGTCACTTCATTCCAAAATAGATCAGAATGAAAACAGACAGCCCAGCTTCTTAAGTACTATGAAGACAGGCATAAAAATACACTGTGGCTATGTACTCCTAATTTTGGAGCTAACACTTCAAATAAACACATCAAGTAAAACATTTTGTTAAAAATGTATTTTATATCCAAGAGTCCTTATGTCAGAAACTTTATTCAATGTTTTCCCAAGTTTTTAAACTTAATTTCAATTTAAACGTAAGACACACAATTTCCTTAGCTGACCAGCAACATCAGCCAAGATGAATGATTAAAATGGTAATAAAAAATTAAAAAATAAAATTAAATGGTAATATACTTTTTTTCTTCTGGTTCTGGTGCTTGAACTCAGGCCTTAAGCTCTTTTGTCAACTTCTTCACTCATACCTGGTATTCTACCACGTGACCTACAACTTCAATTCTGGCTTTTTACTAGTTAATTGGAGGTAAGTTTTTCAGATTTGTGTCTGGGTGGGCTCAGATCTCAGCCTCCTAAGTAGCCAGGATTACAGGCGTGAGCTGCCAGTGCCCGGCACTGTCAACCTTCTTAATCTGAGAATAACTTGAAAGACTGCAGTGATCATCTACTTTTTACCTTTCAGATGAAAAGTATCTCTCTTACCTAATAATGTAATTTCCCTTCTTTTACTGAGCAATTTTAAATCATCAACCATATACATAGCATATGTAAAAAACATTTTTCCCCCCAAGAGAGCCAGGGCAAAATTGCTGAATTTTACGAGCTCTTAAGAGTGCCAGGAAGAGAGCAATGGCAGCTTTTGGTTACTACAGCAGAGACTATCCATGTCAACCAAGAGCACTCTTATTTTTGTGATCAAACAGTCACTTGGTCCAAACACAGGACCATGTTTTAATTGTACAGTGTTAACATTTCAAGAAAGGTTAGGAAAGGTTGTACAGTATTATACCCTCCTGAACTTACCAGGTGTACTTGTTGATGAGACCTTAGAAGTTACAGGTTCTGACTCTTCCTAAATACACAGAAACGCATGTGTAAGTCTCATAGCCACTGGAAAACAGCCACTGTGCACACACGGTGTTTCTCCGTCCCTCCTCCCTTCACCTGCCCCTCTCCCTTGCGTGCCAACCAGCTGTGACCGCTTCCTTCTCTCACCATCCCACTACCCTCCCCAAGACCCTGTTCCCGACCACGCTGCAAAGCCAGGTAAGAGGCAGGAGGAGGCAGCCAAACGGCAGGGAGAAACACTATGTGATATGTTGACCACCAGTGTATAGAACGGGCAAAGCAGTCTGCCAGGCACCAAGGGGGAAGTTCAAACACTATCATTTACAGGATGGAGGGTGCTCCAAAGACTAAAAGTGGTCCCTGACTTCTCTATAGCCCATCATACTACTACTGGGCACATATCTGAAGGAGGAAAAAAACACTCCAGAAAGGTGTCTGCATATAATTGTGCCTATAGCCATGGATGGAATCAGCCAAAGTGGCCAACCACAGACACACATGCATGCGTGTGCACACCGCACACACAGGAATACTACGCAGCAAAACAAAATCATGTCATTTGCAGGAAAACGTATCCAACTGGAGACATAATATACGTATTTTCACTCATATGTGGAAGCCAGACTTAAAAGATAATACATATTCAGTGACATATACACATAACCCTCTACATCACTGTATATATGGATAAATGCAGAACATGAATCTAACTAGGGAGTTACTTAGGAGGACAGGGGAAGGGAAAAAAAGCTTTCCCCACATTCTCACACATTCAAGTCATTTTATAGGAACACCACTGAAATTTCACCAATATCACTCAAACAAGCAATTTTAAATATCTGAATAGTTAAAAACAAGCAAATGCCAGTTCAAACTGAGTCCAAATGAAATCTTGTCTTTTGTGTGGTTTTCTGAGTAAGGCAGGAGACCATCTTTATTCACTTACATTTTCTGCTTCTATTGTTGATCCCTTTTCAGCAATTCTTCTCCTAGAAAGAAGGCAAATTCTATTTTTAAAAATAATTATCTCAGACTGGGTACTGGTGGCTCACGCCTATAAATCCCAGGCACTCAGGAGTCTGAGATGTGAGGATCATGGCTCAAAGCCAGCTTAGCCAGCAAAATCATGAGATTCTACCTCCAATTAATCACCAAAAGGCCGGAAGTAGAGCTGTGCTCAAGTGGCAGGGCACTAGCCTTGAGCACAAAGAACTCAGGGACAGGGCCTACACCCCGAGTTCAAGCCCCATAACCAAAAACGGAACAACAACAAAACCCCTCTAAAACAAAAGTAACCCCCCAAAACAGCCGGTTATCTTGGTATAACAACTTCTCTCAGAAGTTCATCCAAGCTGAAGTTGTATGCAGGGTGAACGTTAACAAACTCCACTCAGTTCTGGGCATGTCCCTGGGAGCAACCTCACCTCCTGGCCAGCAGCGCGCTCATCTCCTCCATTAAGCCGCTACCTGCCAAGGGAACGGGTCCATTCCCACGACCCAAGTCTGTTTTAGCTGAGGCGGGGTTCACACCAGTGGCCGTCCCTCCGCCCGGCAAAGAGGCATCTTCCACCTGAGTGAGGACACAGACAGCAACTTCCTCAAACATGGTCATTTAGCCACCGAGTGGAGAGTAAAGCTCTCTATCACAAGGTGGTGTCAAATCTAACATTACCAATAATGGGATGGTATACACATTTAGGTCATACATGTTACACTGAGAAAGACACAAATCTATGGTACTCCATAGATACCTAGGTACTCCAAAATACAATTTGAATCTAATCTTGAAGAAAACAAATCAGACAAGCTAAACTAAAGAACAATCTGTCATGACACTCCTCAAAAACATCAAAATCATGAAAGCTGAGAATCTTTCACAGGTTCAAGTAGACTAACAAGACATTACTGCTAAATGTGACCCGTGACCCTGGACTAGAAAAAGAAAGCTGTATTGTTGGACAACAGAGTTGTGAGTCACAGGACTGTGCCCGTGTTAACTCCTCCAACTCTAATAATTATACTGGAGTCAGTCAGGCGAATATCCTTATTCTTAGAAAAGATACATTCTTAGAAAAGATACAGGGTGGAATTAGGGAAGTAGGAGCATGTTATTTTTGGCCAACTCTCAAATCATTCAGACAAAAAGTTGTGTGCGTATTTAAGAAAACATACACATAGAAAAGAAAAAGCAAACACTGGTAAAATATTAAGGTGACTCTAGATGCTGAGTTCATAGAAATTCTTTATACTATTCTTGAAACCTTTCTGCAATTTTAGTTAAAGTTGTAATCAATGAAGCAGAGAACATAGAGTTCATAGAATTCAAGCAGAGTCCCTGCTCAGGCACACACAGGAGGCACACACGTGTCTGCAGAGGTGTTCACACGGCTCAGGCACACACAGGAGGCACACACGTGTCTGCAGAGGTGTTCACACGGCTCAGGCACACACAGGAGGCACACACACGTCTGCAGAGGTGCTCACACGGCTCAGGCACACACAGGAGGCACACACACGTCTGCAGAGGTGCTCACACGGCTCAGGCACACACAGGAGGCACACACACGTCTGCAGAGGTGTTCACACGGCTCAGGCACACACAGGAGGCACACACGTCTGCAGAGGTGTTCACACCGCTCAGGCACACACAGGAGGCACACACGTCTGCAGAGGTGTTCACACGGCTCAGGCACACACAGGAGGCACACACACGTCTGCAGAGGTGCTCACACGGCTCAGGCACACACAGGAGGCACACACACGTCTGCAGGTGTTCACACGGCTCAGGCACACACAGGAGGCACACACACGTCTGCAGGTGTTCACACGGCTCAGGCACACACAGGAGGCACACACGTGTCTGCAGAGGTGTTCACACGGCTCAGGCACACACAGGAGGCACACACGTGTCTGCAGGTGTTCACACGGCTCAGGCACACACAGGAGGCACACACACGTCTGCAGGTGTTCACACGGCTCAGGCACACACACGAGGCACACACACGTCTGCAGAGGTGCTCACACGGCTCAGGCACACACACGAGGCACACACACATCTGCAGGTGTTCACACGGCTCAGGCACACACAGGAGGCACACACACGTCTGCAGAGGTGTTCACACCGCTCAGGCACACACAGGAGGCACACACACGTCTGCAGAGGTGTTCACACGGCTCAGGCACACACAGGAGGCACACACACGTCTGCAGAGGTGCTCACACGGCTCAGGCACACACAGGAGGCACACACGTGTCTGCAGGTGTTCACATGGCTCAGGCCCACACAGGAGGCACACACGTCTGCAGGTGTTCACACGGCTCAGGCACACACAGGAGGCACACACGTGTCTGCAGAGGTATTTACCCGTGACACTTTCCTAAGCTTGGCTCCAGCAATCGCAGCTGCAAGTCCAGTTAAAGGACGATTGTCTTCTGATAAGGATCCCGAAAAAAATCCAGATGCAGGAAGGGGAGGGGCAGGAGGTGGTACAGGAGGGGGAGGGGCTTGATTGGGAAGAGGGGGTGGGGGTGGAGGGGGAGGAGGGCCAGAGGATGGCAGTGGGGGTGGAGGAGGCGGTCCTGGGGGAGGAGGGAGTACAGAGGCCTGGGCTGGACCTGGAGGGAGTGGTGGAGGAGGTGGAGGTGCAGGTGGTCCCACAATAACACCTGAGAAGAAGCAGTGTTAACATAAGCCATCAGAAACAGCTAAATGACTGATACGAGCTTACAAAGGCAGGCAGGCAGACTGCCACGGTAAATTAAGCTGACTCAAATAGTACACAGGAGGGCAATTTGTCGTAATGCTTAAAGTCTACTAGATTCATAAACTGCTTCGCTAAATGGCAACGCTTTGTACAACTATTTAAAGATAATAACAAGGAAAAAAGGATACTAAGATTACATATAACTATTTTAATGTTAGTCCTTTAATAACACAACTATACAAAACAAAGATCATATAATTAAATGTTTTATCACAATAATTTGGAAAATAATCTTTAAAATGCTTATAAAATGTGGGAAGCAAGCACTCCTTAACACACACACACACACACACACACCAACTAGTATACGTGGTGCACAGCTAGTGCTGCATGAAATAGCAGGCCCTAAGCAAGAGGCTGAGACCATATATTCTAGGATGAAGGTATGTTTATTATGTACAGATGACCAAAGTACCTGGGTTAAAAATATGGAGGTGGAGTGGGCCTTAGGCTTCAGTATCTTAAAATTAGTTCACATTTAACCTCTCCATGTAACAGGGCCCTTGTGGCTCATTCTTGTGACCTAGCCACTCAGGAGGCTGGCACTAGAGCATCAGGGCTCAATGCCCAGGCAGAAAAGTCCAAGTAGCCAGCAAGACGCCAGAAGTAGGGCTGTGGCTCAGGCAGGAGAGTGCCAACCTTAAGCAGAAGAGTCAAGTGACGGCACAAGGACCTGTGCTCAAGAACCAGCAACAGCACCAAAACATAAGCATAAAAAGAAACGAGTCTAAATCGTGTAAAGTCACAGAAAGCGAACACCAAATTAGTACTCCTTTCTTTTTATTTTGTTGGTTGTAGGGCTTAGATACTGTCTCTGCCCTTTGTTGCTCAAGACTCTAACATTATGAGCCACAGTGCCACTTCTGGCTGGTTCTCTGGTGGTTAAGTGGAGTCTGAGCGTCTCAAGCACCTTCCTGCCCAGCTTGCGTGGGGACCTGGAGGATGGGTGAGACTGGGTGCTGTGTGCACACAGGGTGCTGACGGCCCTCAGCAGTGTCTTGGGCAGTGCACAAGCAGCACACAGAGCAGAGAGTGTCAGGATGCCCGGCACTGTCACGGGGACACAAACTGCCAAGAACCTGACTGCTTTAAAGCACTGGCATGTCAAAAATACTCATCATGTCATTACTTCACACTTTATATTCATGCATTTGGTCTCAGCCATCCTCCTTTACCCTAACACCAAACAACAACAACAAAACCCCAGCCCAGTGCAGCAGCTCCGGGAAGGCAGTCACTGGAAGGACCGCCTTCTAGGCCAGGCCTCATCTCAACAGGCAATGTAGTGCATACCTGGAGTCAGGGAGGCACGAGCCTGCAGATAGGAGGATTTGGGTCCAGGCAGGCCTAGACAAAAATGCACTTCATTCCAAAGTAGTTAAAAAAAACAAGAGCTGAAAGAAGGTGAGGTGCAGGTGGTACAACACACCTGTCTAGGAGGCATGAGCCGGGAGTTCAAACCCCACTGCTTTCAAGAACAAATGTAAACCGCTGGCCAAACGGTTTCTGAAGGAGCCAGGTCCTTGTCTGCCTGCCTAGGTGGAGGCCGCACCCTCTCTCCCGAGTGCCATACCGCGTACTGTGTGCTGGGGGGGTCTGGGTACACCTGCAGTGCATGCCACTGTGTTTCCCTCCACCTTCTGGGCATAGCCAGGCTGGGGGCTGGCGGGGGACGGGACCAATGGCCCAGCCTGAGAAGGGCCCCAAAGCAGAAGGGCTCCAGGGGAAAGGCTAGGGTGGCAACGATGAGGACCACGGAGCACTCAAAGATAAAGCCTTAAGGAACACAGGCCAGGCCCTCATGATGGGCTCACGCCTGTGTCCTAGCTAATCCAGGAGGTGAGATCTGAGGATTGCAGTTCAAAGCTAGTCCAGGCAGGAAAGCCCATGAGACTCTTACCGTCAATAAACTACTCAGAAAAAGCTGGACTAGAGCTGCTGCTCAAGTGATAGAGCGCTAGCCTTGAGCACAAAAGCTCAGGGACAGCACCCAGGCCATGAGTTCAAGCCCCAGTACTGGGGCACAAAACCAAAAAGGAACACACACACACACACACACACACACACGTACGTCACACAACGGGGCCAAGCAGTTTTCCCAGTGCCTTCAGGAGCTGGAGAGCTGTTTAGAATGCTGCAGTACACTCTCAAACCCACTTCCACAAGACACCCTTCAACTGCAATCAAGCAAACAGGACTCACAATGGCTGCTTTTTACCTTTCATCTTTTAACTTTCAAAACCACATGGCTCTATGGTACACAAACGTCCAACCCTCCTCCCAGTCTCCTCGGCAGCTCAGCTGTGACCACTGTCAGGAGCCATGAAGAAACCTTACCCTGCGGGGCTGGAGCCTCGGCCGGCTGAGAGGCTGCCTGCAAGCCTGGCTCTGCAGCAGAGGGGTCTCCCAGCTCAGAGTTTACAGGGCTCTCCACAGAGGCAGGGGTGGCTGCAGAGGGAGAAGGGAGAACACTGGGCTTGGAGGCGGGAGCGGGGGCGGGGGCAGGGCCCGGAGGAGGAGAGGCCTGCGGGCCGCAGTGTGGGAGAGATGCAAGGGCAGGTGGCGGCACTGCTGGCCCCGCGGCGGGCGGTGGAGACCCAGGGCAGGGCGCCGAGTCCAGCAGCCCCTCCGGTGCTGTGGGCGACGGAGGCATTTGGGGCACAGGAGAAGAGACACAGACAGGGAGGACAGGCCTCGGACCAGTAGCTTTGCCAGGGGGACTGCTAATCATTATTGGAGGAGATGGAGGGAGGGGTGAGAAACTGGAAGGAGACCAGGCACAGGGCTTCGAAGCTGGAGGCTGAGGAGAGGGTGTGTTCACAGGAGAAGAAGGTCGAGAAGTTTTGCTCAGGGGACGAGGTGCTGTGGCGTAATGGGGAAGGACGGGGTGGAAGGCTGAACCTAGAGAAGTGGCGAAGCGTGTTGCTGAGTGCCGCAGTGGAGGTGTGGGGGGTGTGGAAGTAGGAGGCAGAGCAGTCACTACAGCGTAATCAGGAGTGGCCTCCGACACCGGAGCAGAGATGACTTTAGCGTATGATGGAGGAGGTGCTGAAGGAGGCTGGCAACTGGAATACTCAGGAAGTGGAGCACTATACAGGGAGCTGTCTGAAGACGGAGCTGGACAGAGGTGGGAAGCAGCAGCAAAAGACGATAAAAAAGAGAGAAAAAGGGAGCTAGTGAAGCCACAGAACCAGCAATCAGACAAAATGTATAAATGTAGACTAGTTAGTAGCAGAGAATTAGACACATGTGCAAATCACTTTCATGCAGTACTTTTAATCTATATACACATTTTAAGATCTAGAAGAGGATGAAATAAACTTTATCTTAATCTAATAAGCAGATAAATTATTCTTATAAGGATAGTGACAGTCTTAATTTTAATTACTGCATCCATTACAGAGACATTAAAAATATGTGCAAAAGCTCATCAACGGAAAATAACTTAGTTGTTTAAAGAAACAACAACAAATAGCCAAACTGGCAAAATGTTCACTACAAGGGGCAAGTGATTTTCTAATTAAATGTTTATTTGTGAGAAAGTTTTGTCTTCTTCCAGAAGATAATTAGGCAGTTAAAAACAAATGAAGCATAACAGACCAACCAACTAATACTTAGTGAACTCACACTGAGGATTCTGATATAGGCAACAAAGAATACAAGTTCTTTAGAGAATGTTAAATGCCTCAGACTTTTAGCCACATCTCAAATCTTTATGTCCTCTAACAAGTGCAATTATGTATTTTTATTTTCACTGGCTTTTCAGAAGACTATAAAGTATATTTAAGCAACCAGTAAATTTGGGAATGTATTTTTTACCTACTATTTTAATTCCTCCTTTGAACACCTTAGACCTTGTCAAGCTAATTTCTTATTGCACAACACTGAGATGGGATGTGAGATGCGGGAAATACCCTCCAGGCTCACTCATCCACACTCTCCGCCTCCTCCAGGGGGTGTGGGAAGACCTGCAGTGCCGGGATAGCTATTCCCAGGAGGTTCGAGGACATAATCGCTGCACGTGGTTCCTATTGTGGCCTGTGTTGCTGAGCCCCGAGCACCTCGCACGTGGCAACCTAGGACACGGCAGAGCGGAGCTCCCTTACCGGCACTCGACACTCTGCGCTCTCGCTCCCATTCCACCTGCTCCCGCTGCTCCAGCCGCTCCCGTTCCAGCTGCTCCAGCCGCTCCCTCTCCAGCCTGTCTCTCTCCAGCCTCTCTCTCTCCAGTCTTTCCCTCTCCATTCTTTCTCTCTCCAGCCTGTCCCTCTCCAGCTCCTTCTGACGTTGCTGTTCTTGCAGTTGCCTGAAATAAAAATTAAAAAATAAAAACATGCACCTACTAAAAAGGAACCCATACTCACAAAGGCACGTGACACCTGTGCTCTCCTCGGGAAGGAAGGCTGCCTTTGCAACGCCTTTCCATCAGTCCCACCCTGGCCCCATGCGGCAGCACATCACACTGAATGAAGCCTTGTTCTGCATTCCCAAGAATAAAGTGTTAGAAACAAACAAACGTTCCATATAATGGAATAGACCACTTTAATGACTGGAAGTCATTATTATAACCATTTAAACCATTTCATTTTTCTTCCTAAAGGTAACAACCAAATTTTAACAGTACAAGAAATAAATGGTCACTCTATAAAGTATCCTGATGGGACAAAGCTGAACAAGCACTTACTGAATTCAAACAAAACACAACAGGGAAACCCAGAATTTGGAGACATGATGGTGTATGCCTGCAACCTCAGCCAATCCTAGCCAGAAGGTGGTAGTAGGAAGATCACAAGATGGAAGCTAGGCCCAGGAAACAAAGGAACCTTCCAGACTGTCTCAAATAGAAACATAAACACAAAAGGGCTGGGAGTGTGGATGAAATGGTAGAGTACTTGCTTTAACTACAAGGACCTGAGTTCAATTCCCAGCACCATAAAACAAAGTAAGACAAAACCACTCCCAAAACATATTTAAGAAGACAGAAATTCTGAATCAAAAGCAGCTGTAACTTTTTGTTTGTTTGTCGGTCGTGGGGCTTGAACTCTGGCCTGGGCGCTGTCCCTCAGCTCTTCAGCTCAAGGCGAGAGCTCTACTACTTGAGCCACAGAGCCACTTCCGGTTTTCTAGTGGTTTATTGGAGATAAGAGTCTCATGGACTTTCCCGCCCAGGCTGGCTTTGAACCTCAATCCTCAGATCTCAGCCTCCTGAGTAGCTAGGATTACAGGCGTGAGCCACCTGTGCCCGGCAGCTGTAACATTTTGATTCTCTGTTTCTCTCTCTTCCTTTCCAGGACTTGCTTCCTATAAAAATACACACACACACACACACACACACACACACAATTTAAAAAACAAACAAATTACAATAATAATGTCGCTATGCTTGCTTTCTTTTCTTCAATACATTGTGACTATTACCCTAAAGCCTGGATTGTGCTTCGTTGTTTTCCGTGAGAATGTAACAGTGCTCGGCTGTCTCCTGTCCAAGGCCTCTGCCTTCATCCCCAAGGCATAGTATAACTGTTTGTACAAGATCAATACCGACACACATTTACTAGTGAAATGGCATACATCCCCAAAGATTCTTAACATATGAGTCCAAATTCCCTTTACGTAATTGTACCAATTAGCCCTCCTTAAAAAACCAAAGTCTCCCCCCCCCCATCCCCTCCCTCCCAATGGAGGGGGTAACAATGTTCAAGAGGAAGTGTACTCATAACCTCACTCATGTAACTGTAACCCTCTGTATAGTAGCTTTACAATAAAAAAAAAAAAAAAACCAAAGTCTCATCTTGTAGCTCTATTTCACATCACTGTAGGGAAGATTAAATGAGCTGATATTTTTTAAAGCTCTTTAAAAAGTAACGAGCATAATGGTTCACGCTGGGCTAATTAACTATTTGGGTTCTATGCAGAGGCAAACTTATAAAAACAAGTGTGCTACTGTTTCTCCCAGCAGTATGAATAAACCAACAAAATCTTTCCAAAAACCTCCCCCCTTAATAGAAAAGAAAAAGACCATCTGACAAAACAGAAACCAAAGAACCCAGTGGCCACCTATGATGGCCGCCCACCTGCTAAGGGTGGCAGTGACGGAAGAAATCAGACGCACGTGGGAAGAATGTTCTAGTGAAAACCAGACAGGTAAGTCCGGCTGTGAAAAATGAAGTCAGTGAGCAACTCAAGTGGAATCTGCATGAAAGAACCAAGATTGTAAGACTTTTCACATGTGTCTCCTTATTAGAATGTTCTTCATTTATATCAAAATAACAGAAAAATACAGTTTTACAAATCCCATCATTTCCCCAGTCTTTCCAGTATTTTTTGTTATTGGCTTTAGATATCTACGTTCTAACGGTGAGATGCTCGCCATCCCTCCTGTACATAGGCTTTCCCCAATGCATACGTAATCACAGGAAAAACCAGCGCATAAGATTCCAGTCTTAGTCAGGCGCCAGTGGCTCATGCCTGTCATCCTAGCTACTCAGGAGGCTGATTTCTGAGGACCACAGTTCAAAGCCAGCCCAGGCAGGAAAGTCCGTGAGACTCTGATCTCCAATAAACCACTAGAAAACCAGAAGTGGCGCTGTGGCTCAAGCGGTAGGCGCTTGCCTTGAGCTGAAGAGCACAGGGACAGCGCCCAGGCCCAGAGTTCAAGCCCTACGACCGACCAAAAAAAAAGATTCCATTCTTGATCCAATGAAAGTATCATAGGCATGGCCCAGCCATGATACTCCAATTCCACTTCATTTCTGACTCTTATTCCTAGTGTGTGGTGTGTTTTAAATGAAGAGCTGTTTCTAAACAATATGAGGCTTTTTTTTCTTTTTGGTATGGGGCTTGAGTGCTATCCCTGAGCTTTTTTGCTACCAGTTGAGCCACAGAGCCACTTCTTTTTTGATTAATTGGTGGTAAGAGTCTCATGGATTTTCCTGTCTGAGCTGGCTTCAAACCTCCATCCCCTGATCTCAGCCTCCTGAGTAGCTAGGATTACAGGTGTGAGCCACCAGTGCCTGACTCTAAAGACATTTTGAAGCATGTGGAATACAAGTCACAAAATCTCAAAATGCCTAACCTAGGTAAATACAGAGGGATTTCAATCTTACCATAATAAAGTAGGAGAGCTAAGGAAAATGCTTTGAGTAGGTAACATTTTGTCACATTGATATTATCATTCATACTTTTCGGAAAAAACCTACAAAGATATAGTTTGCTTCCCTGTTTGAGAACAAAAGAAGTGGATAAAACCTACCAAGATAGTTGAGTTTCAATATCATAAAGCCTAATTAGGAGCTAGCACTTACAACAGAAGACGGTCCACTTTTGGTCCATCCTGCCTCTGCAGGGTCATGAATGGGCTGCACGCTTCCATGGCCCGGCTCCTCCGGTCTGTGTGGTGTCACACCCCTTTATAACTGCCAGACGCGGTGGTGACCAGAAGGCTATTTATAGGTATGAACTGAATTACACTCTATGCTTTGACTAGATAGGACTGACTCATGTTTCTTAGAATGTATGTTCCCATCACTACCAAGGAAGCCAGGTATTAGTAAGGTGAGTAGAATTTAAAATTAACAAATGATAGACAAATGAGTAGAAAATCTTTTTTTTTTAACTATCACGTTACTATAGTAAAAAGTATTAGACTAGTAAAGTTTAACATGTAAACACTTACCAACTCAACTTTACACTTACTAGCTTAAAAAGTCAAACAAGTCAGGTGCCAGTGGCTCACGTCTGTAGTCCTAGCTACTCAGGGGGTTGAGATCTGAGGATCACAGCCAGCCTGGGCAAGAAAATCGGTGACTCTTTTTTTTTTTTTTGGTTCGGCCATGGGTCCTGAACTCTGGGTCTGGACCCTGTCCTTCAGCTCTTCAGCTCAAGGCTAGTGCTCTACTGCTTGAGCCACAACACCACTTCTGGTTTTCTGGTAGTTAACTGGAGTTTTATAAAAGTCTCATGGACTTTTCTGCTGGCTCTGAACCCTGATCCTCATCTCAGCCTCCTCATTAGCTAGTATTACAGGCGTGAGCCACCAGTGCCGGCTCTGTGAGACTCTTATCTCCAATAAACTACCAAAAAACCAGAAGTGGGGCCTTGAGCAAAAGAAGCTCAGAGACAGTGCCCAGACCCTGAGTTCAGACCCTAGGATCAATGAAAAAAAAAAAAGTCAAACTATTAAAAACTTTATGATGGGGCTGGGAAGGTGGCTCAGTGGTAGAGCGCTTGTCTTGCATGCACGAGGCCCTGGGTTCAATTCCTCAGCACCACATAAGCAGGATAAAAAAAAGCCGGAAGTGGCGCTGTGGCTCAAGTGGTAGAGCGCTAGCCTTGAGCTGAAGAGCTGAGGGACAGCGCCCAGGCCCAGAGTTCAGGCCCCACGACTGGACCCCCCCTCCCCAAAAAAACAACTTTATGATAAAACAGTTATGTTAACAACCCTCAGCACTCTTGGAGTCTTCCCAGCAGCAACTGCATTCAATACTCTGATATTTAATCTTATGTTTCTAAACAGCCACTTCTTTAGAACTATCATTTCTTGATATTTCGGAACTATCATTTCTTGATATTTCAGATTCAGATGATGTACACACACACACACACACACACACACACACCTATCTGTATCTGTCTCTATATTTACATACTGACCTCTTCCTTGCCACGTGATTTTATAATTATAATTCTGACCTCACAACCTTTTTCTTTCCCATTACCTCAATACAATTGTAACAGCCCTTTGATTATTGTTAGCAATATTCATATGTCATATTGTTCACCACTCATCACATCAGTTGTCAGAAAAACACTTTTCTTAGTATTTTTTGTTTGTTTTTTGTTGGTCCTGAAATCTGAGCCTGGGTGCTGTCCCTCAGCTCTTCAACTGTAGACTAGCGCTCTACCACTTGAGCCTCAGCCCCACTTCCAGCTTTTTCTGCTTATGTGGTGCTGAGGAATTGAACCGAGGGCCTCATGCATGCAAGGCAAGTGCTCTACCACTGAGCCACCTCCCCAGCCCCTTCTTAGTATATTTTTAACATGACTCCAACTCCCCATCAAACCAGCACCCTCCTGACTGGGCAGGCATGTTGGGGCCTCACACTTTGCTTGTTTTGCTTTTCCTTCCCTCTGACACCACCCTGGCCTCAATGATCTAGTGGAAGAGCTGCCCTTCTACCACCGAATGGCTCCTCTCCCAAACTGCATCCCAAATGTAAGCATGTTCAAAGCATGAGATTAACATCAAAAATCGTCAAACATACACTTAGCTTATGTCTAAAACACTTTTTGAAGCATATACAATATAAATGACAAAATTCCAAAACTATTTTTAACCCAAGAGCTGAGGTCCAGGCCCCTATCCGTGTGTGTGTGTGTGTGTAGACGGTGAGGGGGGCTGAGTATCGAGGCCCCTGCCCAGGTGAGGGTGTGTGTGTGTGTGTGTGTGTGTGTGTGTGTGTGTGTGTGTGTGTGTGTGTGTGTGTGTGTGTGTGTGTGTGTGTAGACGGTGAGGAGGGCTAAGTATCAAGGCCCCTGTCCAGGTGAGGGTGTGTGTGGGAGGGTGTGTGTGTGTGTGCGTGTGTGAGGAGACGGTGAGGGGGGCTGAGTGTCCAGGCCCCTGTCCAGGTGAGGGTGTGTGTGTGGGAGGGGGTGTGTGCATGTGGGAGGAGACGGTGAGGAGGGCTAAGTGTGCAGGCCCCTGTCCAGGTGAGGGTGTGTGTGTGTGTGTGTGTGTGTGTGTGTGTGTAGACGGTGAGGGGGGCTGAGTGTCCAGGCCCCTGTCCAGGTGAGGGTGTGTGTGTGGGAGGGTGTGTGTGTGTGTGTGTGTGTGTGGGAGGGTGTGTGTGTGTGTGTGTGGAGACGGTGAGGAGGGCTAAGTGTGCAGGCCCCTGTCCAGGTGAGGGTGTGTGTGTGGGAGGGGGTGTGTGCGTGTGGGAGGAGACGGTGAGGAGGGCTAAGTGTGCAGGCCCCTGTCCAGGTGAGGGTGTGTGTGTGGGAGGGGTGTGTGTGTTGTCCAGGTGAGGGTGTGTGTGTGGGAGGGGGTGTGTGCGTGTGGGAGGAGACGGTGAGGGGGGGCTGAGTATCGAGGCCCCTGTCCAGGTGAGGGTGTGTGTGTGGGAGGGGGTGTGTGCGTGTGGGAGGAGACGGTGAGGGGGGGCTGAGTATCGAGGCCCCTGTCCAGGTGGGGGTGTGTGTGCGGGAGGGGGTGTGTGTGTTGTCCAGGTGAGGGTGTGTGTGTGGGAGGGGGTGTGTGCGTGTGGGAGGAGACGGTGAGGGGGGGCTGAGTATCGAGGCCCCTGTCCAGGTGGGGGTGTGTGTGTGGGAGGGGTGTGTGTGTTGTCCAGGTGAGGGTGTGTGTGTGGGAGGGGGTGTGTGCGTGTGGGAGGAGACGGTGAGGACTGGGGGCCCAGTCGGGGATCCAAACGCTCTTCGCAAAGACTCTTGAAGTCACCATCTCATGTTAGGATTACTAACTGGCTTGCTATGGACCAGCACCACAGAGCTTCACCCTAGATGATCTTCATTCTAAGCTTTGCTGATGGAGTACAACTAAGTTAGTTACCTCCTGTATTTGTCAATTTTGTGCAAAGCGAACAAAGTGTGTCACTGAATTCAGAAAAGAAATGCATGGTTGAGGAGTGTGGTGCATCGGAGATAGTCCCAGGAGCTGCCCTGGATATGGGAAAAGGGGCCCTAGAAATGCTGAGCAGAGGGGTGAGGGAGCGTCCATCTGGTTGGTAGACTCTGAAGCCCAATGTCCCTCCTCCATCATACAACTCCAGAATCGTACAAGTGTCTATCACACTCATGATAAAGCAGGCCCACAGCAGGAGGAGTATACATTTACCTTTGATATATTCCAACAAAGGCCGGCCTTGCCCCTCGTAGGCCGTCCTACTAGCTCAGCCAGGTAGATCATGCCCCTCCCCGCACACTCCCGCTCCCCCAAGACTTACGATGAGCAGCTCACCAAAGGAGCTTCTCAGCTGGCTCTCCTGCTGTCAGTCAGATGGCTGCTGTGCTCACAGCAAAGTGCTACACAACCCTTCAACAGCACAGGACAGCCTGGCCAATGTCTTTTTTTATCCTTTTTCTCTTTTTCATCTTTCAGTAGCCGCCAGTCAACAATTTAAGAACACAGCAGACCTTGACCCATGCCACTCCTTTCACCGTTCTTTCCCACCCTTCCCATGGCGAAGGCCTCCCTTATTTTTCTTAATTTTGTAGGATATATGCTGAATTGTATGACTGCAATCTACCCACTTCCTCTCTCCATTCATCTATCCTCCCCCTCTTAATCCTGGCCCCCTTTCAAATGCTGTGTCTTGTACCGTGTTGGACTGTAAGTGAACCTTTCTAAGGAATTACACAATTTGAGTTTTCCTCTGAATAAACAAGCAGACCCTAGGAAAAACTACTTGAAGGAAAGCTGAGATGCGTACGCAATGATTTAGGAGGGACATAATTCAAATTAAGAAAAAGAAAGAGACATTGAAGGTAAGAGCCATAAGACAGCACACAAGCACCAAAAGGAAGAGACCACGTGCCCTCCGTGAGGTCCCACAGGCACTGTGGCTCCGGCACACTCTGCATGCAAGTTGTTGTCAGTCTGAAAAAAAATTAGTTTGTTGGCTATGGGGCTTGAACTCAGAACCTGGGCACTGTCCTTGAGCCTCTGTGCTCAAGACTAGCATTGGGCCACTTGAGCCACAGCGCCACCTCTAGTTTTTTATGGTAATTGCAGATAAGAGTCTCACAGGGACTTTTTTTTGGGGGGGGGGGCGGGGGAGGGGGGGTCTGGTCATGGAGCCTGAACTCTGGAACCTAGGCGCTGTCCCTTGAGCTCTTCAGCTCAAAGCTAGCGCTCTACCACTTGAGCCATAGCGCCACTTCCAGCCTTTTTCTTTTTGCTTATGTGGTGCTGGGGAATTGAACCCAGGGCCTCAGGCATGCAAGGCAAGTGCTCTACCACTGAGCCACCTTCCCAGCCCCTCACAGGGACTTTTCTGCCTGGGCTGGCTTTGAACCTGGATCCTTAGATCTCAACCTCCTGAGTAGGTAGCAGGCATAAGCCACCAGAACCAACAGAAATGTGTTTAAAGCATAATATATGCACTGAACTTGGTATGACAAATGTGTTAGTGCTTTTAGTGTTAAAAACGTAATTTTTGATATGGTAGATTTCATCTATTATCCTATTTCACTCACTAATTAAAAACAGCACTACTCAACAATGCTGGCCTAGAATATAAGGTTACTAAGAAAATTAGCAGAGCACCAGCTGTTACACAGGTAACCCTAGCTACCTAGGAAGTTAAGATCTGAGTATCCTGGTTCAAAGGTAGCCTGGGAAAAAGTTCTTGAGACTCTTCTTTCTAATAACAACCAGTAAAAGGCCATACTAGAGGTGCGCCTTATGGTAGAGTGTCAGCATGAGAGAAAAAGCTGGGAGAAGGCCAAAGAGACTGGGCCCATGCCCCAGTACCCACACCAAAAAGAAAAAACAAAACAAAAAACCTGCCAGAATACAGAACAAAATACATGGGAAACAGGGAGCAGAACAAACAAACAATAGTCAAGAACAGAGAAAAGAAAATGCTCAAAGCAATAAAGTTTAGAGAATTGTAAGATTGTAAATGAGGGTTAGGGAGGTGGCTCAGTAGTAGAGCGCTTGCCTTGCATGCCTGAGGCCCTGGGTTGGATTCCTCAGCACCACATAAGCAGAAAAAAAAAAAAAAGCCGAAGTGGCGCTGTGGCTCAAGTGGTAGAGTGCTAGGCGCTGTGGCTCAAGTGGTAGAGTGCTAGCCTTGAGCTGAAGAGCTGAGGGACAGCACCAAGGCCCAGAGTTCAGGCCCCAGAACCGGACCCCTCCAAAAAAAAAAAAAGATTGTAAATGAGTCTTTAAATGGAAAGGGTCCCAAACATTGAGCTATGTAAATAGAAACATGCCTGGCTACATCTGCCTCGGAGTAGGCCAACAATGGTTAAGTACGACATTGGCATGCATCTACACAGTGTATAAAGGGAGCCACAGGGCTTTAAAAGGACTGCTCAAACACACAAAACCAAAGATTCACTGACAGTCACAGGAGAAAATCAGCTGCAAGATGGAGGCAGAGCAGGGCGTGTGCAGAACAGCTGGGCTTCTCCACCAAGTGAGGCCACAGGTTCTGTGGTTCTGTTTGAAAAAGAAGCCAGTACTAGGACAAAAAAACTCCATCTGTACAATGGTCCAGGCTCACAATGGTGACAATCCTCTCCCTCAAAAACAAACAAGAGCATGGCCACCTCTAAAAACCTTCCCTTTGGGATGTCAGGACACATGTCTCCATAATCGTGTCCCGGGTCCTGTCTCCTGGCATCCCAATTCAGCCGAATTGGTTTGTTGATACTGTTTTTGTTCTTTCTTTCTGGCCTGTTTCCCAACGGTGTTGTACTTGGAGGCTGCAAACCTCTGTTACAATGGGCAGCCTGCAGACTGCTAGTGTTGTAATAAAGACTCCAATACGCCACCCTCAAAAAAAAAACCTTCACTTTGTTTAGAAGCGGGACACCTGGTTTAACTATCTTATTTTCAGTTACGGAAAGTACCTGAATTTGAAAAGCAGTATTGCAAAATACTTCGTAATGCAGACAGATAATTTTTAAAAAGTTACCCCTAAATGCAGCTATCTGTAGACTATTGAAATGATGTAAATGATGTTGCCAACTCAGTTCAAACAGCATCTAGTCATAAGGCAAGATATTTGTCTTTTACCACTACAATTATCTTAAGATGGCCACTTTGTAGAACCAGCCAACACAATGTCAACGTTCTAGTTGGGCTGGTTATGTAAAATAGTTAGATTTTATGATTAACTATTATCAAGTAAGACTTGTTGTTAAGTGTGCTTAACACGTTCAGTCGTAACAAGTTATCGTTTTAACCAAGAAGCAGATGTAAGATTTTATAACACCTCATGTGAAGCATTCACAAGTCACTCGTTGCTCGTGATACACAAACTCACATAAAAGTGGACTTTCAAAGCTCTGAAAAGACATCAACTACTTCCAGTAGTAGGGTGTTCACAGTTTTGTCTTCCGCAGTAGAAAAAGTGAAAACAGTGAGTTACCTTCTTTGGATTTCCAACTCTTCTTGGGATGGGCCATTTTGAACTTGAGCAGGCAGTTGTGAATTTTGTCTAGGCAATGTTGGCCCTATAAAGGAGGAAAACATTACAGGTGAACATACGTCCTATTAATTATCCAGAAGTAAAATCATGAGGGCAACATAAAACCATCACATATTTACAAATGTATCTTCTTTGTCTAGCAAAATAAATTGTAAGCTTTACATAACACACAGCAAATGAAAGACTGCAACGTAATACTGTCATCATCTCCAGAAGGCTTGAGACAGATGAAAACATCAACGACAAAGGAAAATAAACACTTCTATATGAAGAGCTTGAGTAAAACAAGTGTTCAATGAGCATCCAGTAGGCACCCGAGCTGGACATTTGCTAAGACAATGAGACATTCTCTTTGGGCAATTCATGAAGTGGAGAGGGAAAACTTAAATGAAAATTCAGAATTTAAAAACTCACCTAAATAGAACACTGGAAATGAAAAACAGGAGAGAGAGAGCATGAGAACCTTATTACTAGACCACAGAGGTATGCTAATGCATTTATCAAATGTGCCCAACTTAAGCTGCCACTTCTGCTTAATAGCCTGGCATTTCCAATACTGGTGAAAGAAATATTTGCTTAACTTCCATATAATAAATTAACCTACATCTAATTTTAAATATCAAATTCATAAAATGTAACAGAGGTAATCTTAATGACTTTTCATTTGGGAAAGAAAGAAAAAAACCGGCATTCATACCAACATGGTACTGTCACAAGAAACTAACAACCATCCATTCCTGCATACCATATACATAATGCAGACCCATTTCAACAACCTAGACAGAATGCTACTAAATTATGGGGAACCTTAACAGCACTGGATATAGAAACTAAGTGAGATCATTGCTGGACCTAATATATTATGCCTAAGGATATTCTAGAACAATCTTGAAACAGCAAACGAGAGAGTACAGAGACAGTTCTGGCCCACTTGTGGGAATAGGAGAGGAGTGGTATACATGTACTTCTGAATTCTAGTCTCCCTGACCAGTTCTGAAAGATTGTGGTAGAGCACCAGCATAAAAATGTTTAAATGCTTCTATACATAATGCAGACTCTTACAATCTATGAGCCATAATGTACTACTGGAAGTTAGCTCCATCAGGGTAAAATATTGTACTGGTATATTACAGATACAGAGAAACAGAAATAATTTGATCTCAACTTACCTAGTAGCTTTATCCTCACCTCTTTATAAATGTTTTTAGACTAATCACTTAATTTATTCTCTAAGGACAAATTAGACAAGTGCAGTGGTATATTTCATAAACTCTCCTAAAAGCCTGTTATTTTAATAGCCAAATAAAGGAAACATCAAAAAACATCAGCAATCAAAAACCTAAAAAACTTTTTATAATCAAGATTAAAAATACACATAAATACTTGCAAAAATAAACAAATAACTTTTTTCTAGTAAGCAGACTAGAATGCTTTCCTTGGCAACTAACATGATTTAAAAAAAAAACTGTCACATTTTGTGACCTACTAATGCTTAATGTTTTACAGGAATTAAGTCCCCTCTCCTGGAAGAAGGGGGGCTATTACACAAAGTGGGAGCGGAGGTTTGAGAAAAAGTAAAATGGATGGGGACAGGTGTACTTTATCCAAAACTATAAAATGCAAAAGCATTTGGCATGGTCAAATTAGTATGGCTTAATTACCTTTAAAAATAAGGTTTGAGAATTTAAGTGAAAACTTCAGGCTACACAAACATTAGAGCAAGACTTGTTTGACAGATCTAAAACGGGGATTCTATCAACAATAATTGAAATTTTAAGTTTTATTTCAAATATATATATTCAAGAAAAAAGATGTCAAAATTCCAACCCAATACTGTTAAACAGGTTAAAAAAGTAACAAGTCTGATATAACTCATGAACAGAGTTAGGAAAAAAAGGTTTATACCAATCTACAGAACAGTTCTCAACTCTTTCTATTGTTTTCTATGGTTGTAGCACACATGTAATGAAATTTACTACTTTTCCCCCTTGTTTTGGTAGTGCTGGGGAATGAACTCAGCACCACCACACAGACAGGTGCTCTACCGCTTAAGCCTCGCCTCCAGCCCCTCTGCTTAAGCTTTTTAAAAGCTTTCTTGACAAATCCGTTGAAGAACGGTACCTAGGAAAGAGGAACATTTTTGATCCAAGAACTCTCGACATTTATTCATTACCTGCTACACAGTTCTCCATGATAAAGGCCAGATACTCTTCCTGCAGGGAAGAGGGAGGGAACCTGCCTTTGCCCTTTCCCTCATTTATATTTAATCTGGCTGTTTTGTTTGCCTTTTCTTCATCAATATCATCAAATTGTAAAAACTAGAACACTGGCAATTTACATGCATTTAAAAATGCTTATAAACAGCATGACATATTAAATACAAGTTCTGGATAAATGTGAAGCAGAGGCACATAATTACATTTTGCCTTGTGGTCAAACATTCTAATGGGCTTTAAAATCAATGAATAATACCAAGGCAGTACACCTCTAACAGTGAGAAGCCACAGCCAAGGGCAGCCAAGGCTGTGTGAGCTACCACTGTCCTTTCCGGGATGTGACATTTCTTCACAAGGTCTAACGCCTACTTCATCAAATACAGAACAGGTGGTGGCAAGCATCACATGGGGACTAACACAAGGACAAGCAAGCTCACGAGCTACAGCACAGCAGCAGTAGCTCTTTCAGGGTCACTCTCCTCTTCTAGTACCAGGGACAATGTTTGACCTTAATGTGTCCTGGCTACAGAATACATGGCTTCTGACCTGCTCGTTTCTAATGAAAAAATGTGGCAGTGTCACTGACATAATAGCCCACAAATGATAGGAGCTGTGTGCAATTGGCTCACGCCTGAAATCCTGGCTACTCAGAAGGCTGAGATCCAGGGAATCTCGCCAGGACACAAAGTCTGAAAGATTCCATCTCCAAAAATAACGAGCAAAAAGCTGGACTGGAGGTAGGGCTCAAGTGGTAGAACACCAGATAAGCAAGCCAAGAGTGAGGCTCAAGTTTAAATCACTGTCAAAAATAAAAGTAAAAATAAATCCAATAGAAATCTCCCTGTGAAACATGAATAGCACTATCATCTTGTCTTCAATATTCAGTTTTGGTTAAAGTACTTACTGTTCCTATTTTAATTTTCACAAGTCTAGTTTCACACATAGCCACAGACTATTTAAAAGCACAGGACTGAAAGACAAATAGATAGTATTATTCACAATAGGATTCATTTAAACTTAGCAAAGTTGTAATTATGCTGTTTGCTCACAGATAAAGGTAGTAACAGAGGAAATCTGCTTTCTAACCTGAAATCTGCTTTCTAACCTATTATTTTACAAACTTAATATTCACCTGTATTAATAGGCCAAATCCATGTTTTTGCTACAGTTAGGTAAACTATTCTGCATGGGAACCTAAGATTTTAAGACGAAAGTTAAATAGGTGTTCAAAAATGAAATCAACTGATCCTTAGTAATAAAAATATCAATGATCTCTCATGGCTAGGTCAAAGAATGGTCTAGAAGAACCTCCAGGAGGAGGCAGGAAATCAGAAATAAGGTTACTAATTGAACACTTAGTCTGTACTGCTTCTTATGGAATCTGAAAGGGAGAGAAGAGAGCTGTGAAATGTCCACACAATAGGCTCAATACTGAAACAAATCTACAATATAATTATAGTCAGGAAATAGAAGCCAGGCACTGAAGCTCACACCTATAATCCTAGCTGCTCAGGAGGCAGAGATCTGAGGATCAAGGTTTGAAGCCAGCTAGGGCAGACAAATCTAAGAGGTTCTTATCTCCAATTAACCAGCAAAAAGCTGGAAGTAGAGGTGTGGCTTAGGTTGTCAAGTGCCAGCCTGGATCCAAAAAGCGAAGCAAAACCACAAAGCCCTGAGTTCAAGCCCCAGTACTCACACCCACACGCAGCACACACACTTTTGTTTTCAATTTATATACGTTTCTATGCCTAAACCAGTAAATACATAAACTTTAAAATGATTCTCTTTAAGGAAATAATACCAGTAATACTGAGGAACCACATTAAAAGTTTGAGTCCCATGTATAAAGCACAGACACAGACTGTGTTGATACAAAATTCTTGCAGTGTTTCATTATATAGCTTTCTTTCATAAAATAATCTGGATAGTCAAGATATACATGAGTCAAAATACGTTACATAAATTTAAAGAAAGCTCAAATATAATTAATTCACCTTTTGGAACTTGGGCTTTTAAAATGTAAAGTTTCAGAATCAAATGGAAAATAAAGGACTTCAAACAAAGATATGCATCTCTCTCTCTACCTATCCATCCCAATATGCAAGGATAGGGGTGTGAACACACCTGATCAGCTCTCATCTGGGCTAAGTGACAAACCTCACTTGTCCATGCAAACAATACGTGTGTGTGCACACATGTATGTATGAGTGAGCATGACAAAAATATTCTATTAGCCTAAATTTACTCCTAAGCCACAGGCATCTAACATATAAAACATAAAAAGAAAAAAGGAAAAAAAAAGCGTGTTGAGCAGAAGCCTTTTTATTAAAGCAGTATTTACATCTGCCTCTTACAACATGCACACCTAAAATTAATTCAAGTTAAGAAAAGCTCCCTTCAAATAAGACATTTACATTCCTCAAATATTAAAATGCATACAAACATTTCCTTAAATTCTCAGTCAAAAGTCTGCTTTCAAACAAAATAGTTAAAAACAAACATGAACAAAAATCCCTCTCCTTTGTATTGGAAGAGGTAGGTGTTAAGATTAAGAGGTGGAGGTTTAAGATCCCAGTTCTAACTAAATCCCAGCAAGTCAATTCAAGAGCTGGCCCAAATCACCTACACAAACCACAACGAATATCACAACATTAAAACAATAGCTTGCTATATATCCCAAAAACCACAAACCAGACTACGGCCTAAGGAAACAAAAGGTATGGAAATGTGTAAGTAGTATGTACCACAGCTTGAGAAAGTAATGTAAACATAATGTTGCTTACCACAGAAAATACATCGCAAATTAGAGCTGTCCTGGGTAGCAGTAACTTTGCTCTGGGCTGCAACAGACACCTTGGTGTTAGAAGCTTCCAAGGACAACGGGGCCATCTGAAGAACTTCACATAAACTAAAAGGTGCTCTGAAAGTTCAAAATGTTTTTACACACACGTCCTATCTAGATCCTCATTCTGGACGCGCTGTAATTTAATAAACAGTATCCTCTTTAGCATAGCTCTTAAAAATAACTTACATGTAATCTTACTTGTAGAAAACCCTAGAATAAGCCTCACAACACAGGATGCAGTTATAAATAGTTCTAGAGTTATACAATCAAAGAGTGCAACTCGCATTGTAAGATTGTATTTTTAAAACATTAATGAAGATAAAGTACAGAAAGCTGAGATCTAAGGCAATTAGATTTTATAAAGTCTACCTTCCCATTTAGGAAAATTACACCTGAATAAAATTTAGGGGAAATACTCAAGATTCATTTAATGTGAGATTAATGCATTTCTACAAGCTGAAAAACAACAACAAAGGCTGCTATAAACAGCCTGCTGCAGTACATATTCACTGATATAAAATGTTTGCTTTAAACTTTGAAAAAAAACCCAACTATTGTTTACCAAACCACATTTCATTTTTTTTCTCAATATGTCTACATACTTGACAAAATATTTTACTGAACCAATCGCATCAATTAGCCATTTTATTTAGGCTATTTAGACAAAAATTAGCTAGGTGTCAATGAAGTAAATTCTCTTTAGAGAAAAACCCAGAAGTTAGTAATTCATTAAAAAAAAAACCACCTTGTCCCACATGAAGGTGATATTAAAAACTAGGATGGAAAGACAAAAGTAAAATATATTTTCTTATTAGTAACATCTAAAGTTTTCATCAATTTTCTACACAATTCTAAAGAAATTCTATTTAGCATGTCAAAAATTTTGTGTTCATTCATATCAAGATACAGTTCCTGGGTTAAATATACATCAGCTTATGAAATATCACATAAAGGCAAGTAACTATATTTTATATTTCCCTGAACCTACATTTCTTTCAAGAATGTTGTAACTCCTACTAAGTGAAAAAGTTGGAGTAGAATCAAAACCAAATTAATTTATAAAGAATGAATACCTTAAAATGGTAGTAAGTCTTAAATAGTCAAGAAAAACTTGGTAGTTTGAAAAATATATTTCACAATTAAGTTTGTCTGGCTCTAATATATTACAGATATTTGCAAGCACAATATAAATAAGGTTAATAAAAGTTACCTTGCTAAGTTCTTAAAAGCACCACTATATTATTAAAAGTTATATCGTCTTTATATTAATTACAAAGATACAGAAAGACCACAAATCTAATCAGATCATTCCAAAAGATAAGCAATTTAGAAAATTTGAACAATTACATTTTAAGTTTGAACTGATTAAAAAATAAATCTATTGTACTGATAATTCATAAATGGCTATTAACAACACATTTACACTAATAAACATGCCTAGATTTCAGGATTTACCCATTAGTTCCTTTCGTATTTAAGGGAAAAATCAAGAACAAAACAAAACACAAACTTACAGGAAAAAACTGAAAACACGTCTCCTTTCTGACAGCAAAGGAGGTGCTCTATCTCACTGCAGGGAACTTCAGCACAAAGTTTCTGACAGCTGCCACACTGTGGCTAGTGCACATTTACCACACAACACGCCCAGCTTCACGACAGGCTCCGGACGACACCAGCCCCTTACGCGCCGCTGACTTTTACTTCATATCACCAGGTAAAATACTCATCTACCTCCTGACAGACCATTGGAATTCCACTGCAGTTGGCATTTCCTGAAGATACTGCATCTCAAGCACTTGCTGCTTCATACACCATTAACTGTTTCTTCACTCAGTCAAGGGCACAAGATGGGATAGGAAAAGATTCACTGTTGACACTCAATAAATTCAGTAGCAGAACGTGAGCATTTACATATTACATAATACATATATAGGACTGAAAGAAATAAGGATGAGAAGACGCCCCCAAAAAAGGGGAAAATGGGAAATTGAAATGTACCAAGAACCTAAAATTGAATATCTATAATATCTATACTTCAGGAAAAGAAAACTTCTCATGTTCATCCCTCTTCTACCAGGTAGTGGTGTCCGCTCATCCACCACATCTACACGTGACAGTGTCCGCTCATCCACATCTACATGTGACAGTGTCCAATCATCCACATTTACATGTGACAGTGTCCCCTCATCCATCAATCTACATGTGACAGTGTCCCCTCATCCATCACATCTACATGTGACAGTGTCCCCTCATCCATCACATCTACATGTGACAGTGTCCCCTCATCCACATCTACATGTGACAGTGTCCCCTCATCCACATCTACATGTGACAGTGTCCCCTCATCCACATCTACATGTGACAGTGTCCCCTCATCCATCACATCCACATGTGACAGTGTCCCCTCATCCATCACATCTACATGTGACAGTGTCCCCTCATCCATCACATCTACATGTGACAGTGTCCCCTCATCCACATCTACATGTGACAGTGTCCCCTCATCCACATCTACATGTGACAGTGTCCCCTCATCCACATCTACATGTGACAGCGTCCCCTCATCCATCATATCTACATGTGACAGTGTCCCCTCATCCATCACATCCACATGTGACAGTGTCCCCTCATCCATCACATCTACATGTGACAGTGTCCCCTCATCCACATCTACATGTGACAGCGTCCCCCATCCACATCTACATGTGACAGCGTCCCCTCATCCATCACATCTACATGTGACAGTGTCCCCTCATCCATCACATCTACATGTGACAGTGTCCCTTCATCCATCACATCTACATGTGACAGGGTCCCCTCATCCACATCAACATGTGACAGCGTCCCCTCATCCATCACATCTACATGTGACAGTGTCCCCTCATCCATCACATCTACATGTGACAGTGTCCCCTCATCCATCACATCTACATGTGACAGTGTCCCCTCATCCATCACATCTACATGTGACAGCGTCCCCTCATCCATCACATCTACATGTGACAGTGTCCCCTCATCCATCACATCTACATGTGACAGTATCCCCTCATCCATCACATCTACACGTGACAGGGTCCCCTCATCCATCACATCTACATGTGACAGCGTCCCCTCATCCATCACATCTACATGTGACAGTGTCCCATCATCCATCACATCTACATGTGACAGTGTCCCCTCATCCACATCAACATGTGACAGTGTCCCCTCATCCATCACATCTACATGTGACAGCGTCCTCTCATCCATCACATCTACACGTGACAGTGTCCCCTCATCCATCACATCTACACGTGACAGTGTCCCTTCATCCACATCTACATGTGACAGCGTCCCCTCATCCATCACATCTACATGTGACAGTGTCCCCTCATCCATCACATCTACATGTGACAGTGTCCCTTCATCCATCACATCTACATGTGACAGGGTCCCCTCATCCACATCAACATGTGACAGCGTCCCCTCATCCATCACATCTACATGTGACAGTGTCCCCTCATCCATCACATCTACATGTGACAGTGTCCCCTCATCCATCACATCTACATGTGACAGTGTCCCCTCATCCATCACATCTACATGTGACAGCGTCCCCTCATCCATCACATCTACATGTGACAGTGTCCCCTCATCCATCACATCTACATGTGACAGTATCCCCTCATCCATCACATCTACACGTGACAGGGTCCCCTCATCCATCACATCTACATGTGACAGTGTCCCATCATCCATCACATCTACATGTGACAGTGTCCCCTCATCCACATCAACATGTGACAGTGTCCCCTCATCCATCACATCTACATGTGACAGCGTCCTCTCATCCATCACATCTACACGTGACAGTGTCCCCTCATCCATCACATCTACATGTGACAGCGTCCCCTCATCCACATCTACATGTGACAGCGTCCCCTCATCCACATCTACATGTGACAGCGTCCCCTCATCCATCACATCTACATGTGACAGTGTCCCCTCATCCATCACATCCACATGTGACAGCGTCCCCTCATCCACATCTACATGTGACAGCGTCCCCTCATCCATCACATCCACATGTGACAGTATCCCCTCATCCATCACATCTACACGTGACAGGGTCCCCTCATCCATCACATCTACATGTGACAGTGTCCCATCATCCATCACATCTACATGTGACAGTGTCCCCTCATCCACATCAACATGTGACAGTGTCCCCTCATCCATCACATCTACATGTGACAGCGTCCTCTCATCCATCACATCTACACGTGACAGTGTCCCCTCATCCATCACATCTACATGTGACAGCGTCCCCTCATCCACATCTACATGTGACAGCGTCCCCTCATCCACATCTACATGTGACAGCGTCCCCTCATCCATCACATCTACATGTGACAGTGTCCCCTCATCCATCACATCCACATGTGACAGCGTCCCCTCATCCACATCTACATGTGACAGCGTCCCCTCATCCACATCTACATGTGACAGCGTCCCCTCATCCATCACATCTACATGTGACAGCGTCCCCTCATCCACATCTACATGTGACAGTGTCCCCTCATCCATCACATCTACACGTGACAGGGTCCCCTCATCCATCACATCTACATGTGACAGCGTCCCCTCATCCACATCTACATGTGACAGCGTCCCCTCATCCATCACATCTACACGTGACAGTGTCCCCTCATCCACATCTACATGTGACAGTGTCCCCTCATCCATCACATCTACATGTGACGGCGTCCCCTCATCCATCACATCTACATGTGACAGTGTCCCCTCATCCACATCTACATGTGACAGTGTCCCCTCATCCACATCTACATGTGACAGTGTCCCCTCATCCATCACATCTACATGTGACAGTGTCCCCTCATCCACATCTACATGTGACAGTGTCCCCTCATCCATCACATCTACATGTGACAGCGTCCCCTCATCCATCACATCCACATGTGACAGCGTCCCCTCATCCACATCTACATGTGACAG